AGCAAGAGGAGTAAGAGAGACCAGGTAAGAGAGTGCTCACGTTGTGAAGGAGGAGCGGGATGCTTTTAGTGGCAGGCAAAGCCTCAGAAAGTTGGACACAGTTGCTGATAGACTGGCTTCTCTTAGCTTCCAGGAAAGATAAAGTAATAATTATGTCAGAAGAACATCAGGATCTCTCACTTTTATTATTATTATTATTATTATTATTATTATTATTATCATCACTATTCTGGGTTCTCTTTAAATACAGCATGGGGCAACAGTAGGTTTACAGTTGTGAGTATATGCAACAGAGTTTATTCTTGTATTTCTATTAATGACTGTATTATTTACCATACCAACAACTAACTGTAAACCTACTGTTGCCCCACCCATTATTTAAAAGAGGTCATTTTAAACTTTCAAGGCAGTCAGTACAAAGCACATACAGTCAACTTTCAGTCATTCTGATGATATGGGAGACTAAACAATTCACAAACAATCTTACTTTATTTTTTAGAAAGATAGAGGAAAGGGGAAGGAGAAACGGAAAGAAGGAGGGAGTAGGGGGTGAGAGAAAAACATCTATTTGCTATTCCACTTATTTATGCATTCATTGGTTGATTCTTGCATGTGCCCTGGCAGGGGATTGAACCCACAACCTTGGCATATTGGGACAATGCTCTAACCACCTGAGTTACCTAGCCAGAGCTCACTCAATTTTATTTTAGAATGCTTTATATGTTTAGTCTTTCCTTGTTTTCTGTTGTGTCTCAGATTCACATTTGGGTTGTTTATTTTGGCAAGCATGATAATCTATTTTCCCTTCCTATAAGACACACAAAAAAAACCATAGTGAGGGAAAGAAAATCTAGCCTAAGATTAAAAGTGTTCTATAAATAATACATAATTCAAAAATTGGTTTACTGAGAGCTGACTATATTCAAAAGAAAATCATTTAGTAAATTAAACATCCGAAAAGCTTAAGCACATATAAAAGTCAAACTAAAAATTAAGATACAATAAATGGAAAGAAAATAAAAACTTCCATGAAACCCATCCTTTTTTACATTACATTTCATGCTTCTTAAATTCATAATTTCCTATTACAAACTTTATGGTGTTCTTAAGTTTTCAATATACTGCTATCCAAATGACCATTTGAGAAAATAAATGCAGGAAGAGAATATGCCTTACATATGAAAGTACCATCAGCAAAATCAGTTTATCCTTAAAACAAAATTATAAAGGTTTACCTGCTTTCTTGTTATCTTTACGCGATTTTAACGTTAATGAAATAGAACTATAAATGCTAGTGACACATCTGCAAAAAGTGAAACAAACTTTTTAGTTTCCTGTCTTTCCTTCCATCCCTTGGCTATCAGAATTTCCAATTCTAAAGGACTATCTGCAATGCAACTGCAGTATAACTCACAAATGTGTAAAATAATATTTAAGTGAAAACAACTTCTATGTAAACACCAAACTGACTGACTTGAAATTTCCTATAAGATTTGTTCATCTCTCAATGTTAGACACAGATTTGAGTGTTGTTTTAAAAAGTGTTCCTTTTACAAATCAAATGATTGTGCATTTTCCCAACACGGATCACTAGATACTTCAGAGATAATAAAATGCAGAATAATTATTTTGTGTGAAAATTGATTTGCTTTAATCACTCATTTTACACATCTAAAATTTTAGTATCATTCACATCCAGGAACAAAGTTTTACTTTATAATTCTTTAACACTTTCCTTGCCAGTCCTTTTAACTTGCAAACTAAGTACATTCTCTGTTAAATTGCCATTTCCTTACTCAGCAATTCCTCATTTTATATTTCCCTCTTGCCACCATCACTGACATTTTCTCAAACTAAGAGTAGTCTGTGGGGTAAATCAACATATAATAGTCTTCAATTATTCTGAGACTGGAAAAAAAAGTCACTTTCAAATGAGTCTTCCATATTAGTATCTTAATGCTAAAAGTAGCAAAAACTAACTTCATAAACATGCTTGTTCTCTCATTAAAAGGTGTCCTCTATATAAATAAAAATCTACCATGAAAATAATCTGGACCTTTTTAAAAGACAAACAGGTGAATTATTATACAACGTACAAACAAAACTGAGTGAAACCACTAATATCTAGTTTATAGAGATTAATTTTATAAAATAGTATAATATAAAATCTTCAAAGACCATGCTTTCACAGGAAACAAACAAGATCTATAATTTTATAATTTTTAAAAATGTAACATAAAATAGGACATTCACACATATGTATCTATATATACATATATGCAAAATATATAAGATTATAGATATGTCCAACTCAATAGCTCACATCTTCATTACCTTTTACAGGTTATGGTTTCAAGTATTTTTAATTTAATTAATCCCACAAAGGCCAGGTTTATGGTTTTTAAGTGACATACTCTACAAATATGTTTATGATTTTGTAAAATTCTTATTTTTGCAATATCATGGCTTTTCAGACACTTGAGGACACCGATAAACAGATCCTCACTCGCCTATATGTGCTGAGGATTTTTTAAAACATGCTGTGGCCTATACAATATTATTGGTCTAATATATCTATTGAAAAACTAAGATGCAATCTCTTCTATGGCTGTGTTTTGGCCAAGTAGTGGCATATGAAACATGCAATGTCCAATAATTTGCTCCTCAAAAAAAGGTGAGAATAGAGTTTTTAAAACTGTTTTGAATGATCGCTTTTATTACTATAGTGATTCAAGGGTTGTGACTGACAACAGGAAGTCTGAGCAGCTCAGATATGACACCACTTTTGTCATAAACTTTTATTCTGATCCCATTCTTTTAAAGATCCAGTGATAAAAGAAAGGAGTTTTTAGGAGGTGGGACAAGAAAGGAAATCAGTGGATAAACCTCCCTACAAGTTGCCTGTTACCAGGAATAGGGAGTTTCCTCAGAGGAGAGGATGCTGCAGAAAGGAGTTAAATAAGAGGTGAATGTAAAGTGGGTGATAATCATCAACAAATGCTTCAGCCAAAAGCATGAGACAGTGTTATGGTATATTTCCATAAAACTCCAACAGGATTCTAAACCATCTATATTTATTTACTAAACACTGAGAAGTATGTCAAGTGTAAATAAATCTTTATTACTAGAGAATATTATAACTTTCTGCAGTAAACATGCTGATTAACAATTATAATTGCATGTATTATTGATGTGAAAAACTGCAGGAAAGTTGTTTTAAGTTACAGCCTCAGAGTCACTGGAGGGGTGGTGCTTCATTTGTTCTTAAATACTGGATATAAGCTTACTTTTTGAAGATTTCTCTTTTTGTTTTAAAGAGTAAAGTGTAGCAAAAGCAGTCTGTTAACTGGGGTTCTTGGTCAGGTTCTAGTTAATTCTTACTGGCTGTTAAGGATATCTATAGCCATGTAAAACTCAATTTTCAAAAGATACAAAAAATTTAAATGTCTGCATCCAGTCTTGAAAACTATTATTCTCCTTGTTGCTGGGACAAGTTGCCACACTCTTTCAAGATTCATATTTTTCAATAACGACATTAATGTAACTAGTTGTGTGACTACTAGTATAATGGGAGATGAAGAGTGAGAGGCCCCTCCCACAGGCCTGGTGGCTTGTGGGCTGTAAGGAGCAGCAGGGCAGGAATTGAGAGTTGTTTTTGCATATCCACAGGAGGCTAGCTAGGGAGATGGGCATGACTTTGACCCATGATGTAACTGGGAGGCAGCTCCCCAGCTACAGCCCTGCGCAAGAGCTTGGAGATGGTTGGCTCTATACCACAGGACCTCAACTGCCTGGACTAACTATGGCAGCCACAAAAGGCAGAGAATATGAAAGTGCTGGCAGGTGTATAGGATTGTGGGAGGAGTCGGAAATGGGGTTATGGAGGATGTTCCAGGCTGGGATTTAAACTAAAGACAGTCTGACACAAGGGATGAGACACAATGCAAGACAATGGGGGACAAAGCGAGACCATGCAGTAAGACAAGGGGTGAAAGGACTCTTGCTAGAAGGCCATCAGGAGGTGCCACATCATTGTGGGTTAAGAACTAGAGATCTCGGTGACACAGCTGATAGTACTGGGGACTGCAGGAGACCTGCCCAGCCATGCACAGATTACTGGGATGAACTGGGAGTCCAGCTGAGCTATAAACTTCTATTTTTCCTGAGATATGGTACATCTGACTGGCCTGGATCAGCAAGGGGAGGCAGGACTATGTGTGTTTGTGAGTGTGTTAAAGAGATTTTGAGATTTAATGGCAACATTCCACCATTATGCTAAACCTACATAACTTTTGAATAAATAATTGCTTTCCTTTTTAGCAAACTCTGGCATTGAGAATCACAATTCCTACCTGGCAGCAGGCAAGAAGAACCACAGCACAGAAAGATCCCAGGGCAGGGGGCCTGTTTTGGTACCAGTACCTGGGCCAAATGTGTCCGTTCTGTAACACTAAGACTCTTATTTCCTTAAGTTTCAAATAAAACATCTATTTTCTCGCTTGTACAAACATCTCAGTCAAAATTAACATCTCACTCAATATTAAAGCCTTACCACAATGAAGGATTTAAAATATGAAAAATTGAAAGTAACCATAATAAAAAGTTAAAAAGATAGACAAATTTCATTTAATGAAAGGTCTAGCTTTTAATTCCTGAGTAAAACTTTAAAACTTTTACAACATTTTATTCCCATAAATCCATTTTATTTTTTTATTTTTTTAATCTTCATGTAAAGATATGTTTATTGATTTTTAGAGAGAGAGGAAGGGAGAGAGAGAGAGCAAAACATCAACATGAGAAACACTGATGAGCTGCCTCTCCTATGTACCCCGACCAGGAATCAAACCCACAACCTAAGTATTCTGCCTTGACCACACACTGAACCCACAACCTTTTGGTGCATGGGACAATGCTCCAACCAACTGAGTCACTGGCCAGGGTCCCATAAATCCATTTTAGATAGCAATATACCTTTGGGATATATTTAAATAAATGTTTACCAGTTGCTTTTTGGCGAATGGTATTTCTTGCTTTCTCAACTCCTGGTGCCCCAGATGTGGTGGCACTCCTAAATCGCATTGGCTCAGTCACATCTGGGTGGCTCCTCCAGCTGAGAGAAAAGGATCTCCCCACAGTGGTTCCTTTCTGAGAATCTAGAATGCAACCTGATAAAGGATAAGACAAGAAAAAAAATCTAAAGGCTGAATTCATTATTATTCATTTTATAGCCTATGTTGCTCAGCAAATTTCATACCCACAATTACGTATAATTGGCAGCTTCTCTTGTTGCAAATTAAGTACCAATTCCCTATATTGTAATTTAGGAAGTCATTCATGTACAGGTAATCCAAACATTCCTACTGACAAAGTATTTTTCAAGCATCTCCAACAGTTTCATGAAAATTCCCGTATCTTTATAGTACTCACTCCAATACACACACAAGAACACATCAGTAAACCTCTCTCAATATAAGAACAATGTCAAATGAAGTTATACAACTGCTCCAAAAACTTTCATAAACCAGAAAATCAGACATCTGATTTTAGACTAGTATTTCATCCTGTAGGTGCCAACCTCTCCACAAATACCCAAAAGAAACTGATGCCTATAATCTCTAATTAGAGACAACCAAATGAGCAAGGAAAATGACAATCTACAAATAATAAAAAATCCTATTTTAGTAAAGCTCCAAAACAATAAAATATTACAGCTCTGCAATTCAGATTCTCTTCTTTCCTCTCATATTGCTCTGGTCATATATTTCAAATGTGTGGTCCAGAATACAAAAGAAATACAGAAGAAAAGAGAATGAGACACTAAGAGATTTCTGCACAGGTATAATGTGATTGTTGGCTGCCACCTGTGGCTTGTTTTCACACTCAGGTTCCTCTCAGAGTGTATTTTATTTCCCCAAGTCCAGTGATTAGAAGCCAAGTACTTCTATAATAAATATTTAAATATTTTTAGAATAAAGCAATATAATACATAAATCAGAAATATATTCCATACTCATTAATTAAATTTGTTCTGTATTGTTCCAAAAATAGTGTTTCTGAAGTTGTTTACCTTCCTAAGACACATCTATCTTTTCCTATGACTCTGTTCAAACAGTGAGACGAAAAAATATTGTGGGGGTTGAGGGGGAGGGTAGATTACAAGAATTTCAGGAGGTAGAGAATGTGCTGAGTTTGAGAAAATCCTGACCTCCTGTCTCAGTAACTCCCCTCATCCTGAAAGTCACTCATAGTCAGGTAGACTCTCTTCTGGGCTGAGAACTAAAGTTTTAGAGAGCCAAGTTTATTGTCTTAGGCCTGGGTTTACATAGAGGCCGTCAGAGATGCTACAGAGCACAAGACAGAGGCCAAGGGGCCCAGGCTCTTGGCTCCCTGACTCTACTTCAATCCCAAATCTCCAGTTTAATACAGTTTTTAGGAAGGGCTCTGTAGTTTCAAAGGGGGAGGAAAAAGGATATGCTGCTAAAATACGTTAGAAAATCATTAGTCTAAATCTAAACTAAACTGTCTCACTGGAATACTATGTGCTTAGACTACTTTGTTTTGGCTTCTTACTAACTTGCTTTTGTAAACTGATGCTTTGGCAAGCCACTCACAGACTGCGATGAAGATACTATAAGAATCAACCATATTAATAATTGTAACTCATTCACACCTACCAATATGCACATTCTCTTTTGTCCTCTCTTCCACACTTATGGCTTCATCATATGATTTACTTTGGTAGCAAGACTGAGCAAGCAGAGATTTAAAATGCACCCATTGCCCAGTCACCCCTGACAGCTAGCCAGCCCCTAGAAGTAGAGAGCTGCCTAGCTGACAATTCAGTCTAACTTAGTGATTTTCAACAGGTGTGCCATGGCATATCAGTGTGCCACAAGAATTTTCAAAACATGTAATGCGTGATTTAGTCAGAGGCACTTATCTCTTTTCCCTTAGACTGGCAAATAAAAAAACTGACAACAGCCAATGCATCAACAGCCATCCTATGTGAATGCCCTGTCTTGAACAATAAATATACTGGTCATATAAAAGAGTTGCATTTTATTAATCATGTTGCATAATAAGGTTGTATCTGGTTGCTTAGTTCTTGGTATCAGAAATCCTTATATATAAGTGTAGGCATCTGATTTTTAAAAAGTCACTTTGGAGCAAAAAGGTAGGTAATTATTATTGTAACTTTTTTTGTAAATCAATAAAAATTACAGCTTTTTGTCAGATCAGCAAAAAATGTGTTTTTTTATATGTTGCATAATTTTAGTAATTAGTTTATGTGGACCATGAGACGAAAACAGTTGAAAATCACTGGTCTAGTTGACTGTAAACAAAGGCATGAATCCAGCAGAAAAACTGCCCAGCTAAGTCTGACCCAAACTTCCAATGCATAAAATCATTACTAAGTAAATGGTTATTATTTATAGCCACAACGTTTTGGGGTGATTTGTCACACAGTAAAAGCTACCTTACAATTTATAATAAGGCTACTGATGAGCTTGCAGTGTACCACAAAAAGCAATGTACCCTTTATGAGTCTTTGAAGGAGAAAGCCGTATCACCTAAGCAAGTACTCTCTGATGCTCTGATGTAACCCTGTGAAAATCAGAGTCAAATCTGAGGCTGCCTTCCCACCTTATATGCTTAGAGCAAGCATATAAGGCTCTATGGCATGCAATTTGGCATTTTAACCGTACCTGTAGCTCCACCCCTTTCATTTTGCCCTGATGTTCTTATGAATTTTAAAGATTGTACTATATGTATTTCTGTGAGCTGCCTCAAATCTTTACATAATAAATTGGAGAACAAGTGAATTCTATGAACTGTGTCACAGCCTTCAAAACAGTAATGAAGACAGGGGGTGTCAAATTGTCATCCCCAAAGAAACCACCACTGATGTTTCCACCTTGATCTGATTCTAGGTATCAAACCAATTTCTACCCCAAAACACATCAAAGCCAAAATGACTCCCATCTGAAGTACTCTGAATGTTTACACCTTTCCTAGGGAGGCAACAGAATATGTCTTTCTAGTGTGGAATTTTGAGTTGGACTTGCTTTACCACTTCTTAGCTATGTGACCTTGAATGAGTTAATCACTGTAGACTCTATTCTTCAGTTTCTTTGTTTGTGATACAGGGATAGTCAACAGTATCTACCTCATAGGAAACAATGAGGGTAAAGAGAGAGGATATATACAAAGCAGTAGCCATTATTATTGTTTTTTACTACTATCCCCTTTGTCTTCCTTCTTCTTCCACAGCCTCTTCATAAATTTATCATCCTCATTAAGGGAATAGAATACCGTAAGACACAATCTAATGGCCCGACTGAAGATACTGCCTATCTATATGGCTAGTTCAGTTTATTATGAAGTTTCATAATACTCCTTTCCTGATGTCTTATACATCTGGAGTTACCCTGTCAGAATAGAAATACCTTTGCCTCGTTGTTTCTTTTCCTGCTGTTCACGTAATTTGTCCAGAGGTAGGTTTGTCATCTCAACTCCATAAACAGTTCTTGCAAGCACTGCTGTCAAGGAATCCATAATGTTGGTCCACTCATTTATGAGTTCCTCCCACTCCGTGAGGGAGGACAGCACACCAAGAAAGTCATCCCAGAGCTCTCGAGAAATGTACACACAGAGGTTTGCTCGGATCCAAGCCACAATGAGTGTCTAAAACCAACCAACCAAGTGAGAGAATTCATTATCTTCATTTGGAAAAAGTATAATTTTTAACAAAATATTTTAAGTCACTAATAAAATAAATTTTATAACAGTAAGTGCTTTTGGATTTTGTTTTTCTTGTAATTTCTCAAAATCCACTTGATCAACTATAATCAGGATTTTTGAGCTACTGTGAAGTTAGTTATCATTATGAACAAAGCTACTAGTCCAAAATTATGAACAAAGCTACTAATTCAAAATTGGTCCTGGTATAACTGAGGAGAAGACAAAGCTCTTTGTACAACAACTATTCTGTTTCCTGAAACAGCTCTTTCATTCTCTACAGTGGCTACTTTAGACATCATCTTCTATACATAAACCTCCAACCTCACCAACTCCTCCCTGATTTTTAGTAGATGAACTCACTGCAGACTTAAGAGAAAACATAATCCATCAAACAAGATGCCTCTGACCTCTGCCCTCCAGGCCATATGTCTGCCACCTGCAGTTTCTGCTTTTAACACATGTCCCCACCCTGCTCTGGGCCTCTTCCTCAGCCCTGTCTCTCCTTTATCTCCAATCCAGCCTACCTCCCCAGCTCTTCTCATCAGCATAAAATACTCCAATTATTTCACATCTTAAAAAAATAGTTCCCTTGAACAAAGATTATGAAGATTCCCCCTCTAGCTATAGCCCCATTTCTCCCCCTTTCAAAGCCAAGTTTCACACTTACTCCATCTGCACTTGTTCATCTCCCAGTCAACCTCTGGCTTTCTCCCTCCTAGGCCATCCCACCTTTTGCTTGGGTTTTGATCTCCATTCTCATGGCTCTGGTTATCATTTGTGTACTGTTGATTTCTGAATCTCCATGTTCATTCCAGACCTCTTTGCTGGTTTCCTGACCTATCTGTTAACTAGATAGCTCTACCTGCATGTTTAGCAGGCACCTGTAATACAGTATAATAGTAAAAAGAATTCAATTTCTTCTACTGAGATTTTTCCAAACCCTTGACCTGGTCTCCCCTGCTCTTCCAGTAGCCTTCAGTTTCTATAGTTCTCTGCACCTTCCCCCATCAGAGCACTTAATGCCCTTTTCCTTAGGAGTTTATTAACTTCTCTGTGTCCCTCCTCTAGTCTTATGATCTACAGCACTACAACTGGCAACATGGGCAACCCCACAAGACTACTATGCATATATTCTGGATATTTCCTTACCTCAAAATTGCCCAGTTCCTTACCTCTGCCAAAATATTCCACATCCTTTAAAATTCAAATCAAAATAATTACTACCCAATCAAGACAAATAGGCTCCCACTGTCATTCACTCCAAATGGGCCTCATTCTCCTAGAACATTCTCAACCACCCACCTACCTATTGTCCAAGTCACTGGTCCACTGGTCATTCCCCTCTTACCCAATATGCTTCTCTAGGCATCCAGATTAGTTTTCCTCCTAGCTCCCTGATCACTCTTTCTCAGCATTTCAGCTGGCTTTTCTCCCTCACCAATCATGGAAATGGCCCTCTTCCTTCTATGACATAAATTCTTTCCCTAGGTAATCCCATCTGGTAATGTGGCTTTAAACACAATTATTGTTCAACACACCAATGGCACTCACATTTTTATCTCTAGCCTAAACTGCTCCCTGACCTCATTCCCATTCCCATACTTCTGTTTATCCTTTACCTCTTCAAATCTATCTGGCTCTCCACCAAAGCCATCAGTTTTTGGTATTTTCCTAATTTCTATTAACTTCAAGCATATCAAAAGAGGAAGTAAATGGCAAAGAGGTAAGGCATAAAAGAAGCCTTGAACTAACTGTAAAGAATAGATTATAGTTTTATGACAAAACTAAAAAAATTCTAATTAAATTTCTAGAAGTTTAAAGTTAGTTTAATTTTTAGTCAAAATTCTCTGTGATTAAAACTACTTTGATGTAAAATCTGATTCATTTGGTGCACTTGCAGTGTTTTAATAAAAAAAGACTTACCCTGAACAGTAATCCTGCCAAACTCTGGGCAAACCAGTCCTTTATTTGTTTATCCTTTGGCTTCTGCAGGACAGCTTCCGTTATCCTGAGTAGTATTTGCAACATCTGTTCCCTGAGTCACCCAAAATAAAAGCTCATATTAATCACATCTCCAAAGCACTTTAATTTATAGGAACCAGAAATTCTCTTAAGAATTCAGCAACACTGATAAACATGTATTACTCAAAAATATTAAACATTGGAATGCCCATTACATAACAAATACTATATTTTATCAAAATAAGCTACCTTATGTTACAACAGTTCTAAAAATATCCCTCCTATGCCCACAATTATAGGCAGGATAAAACAGGTATCATCCTGGTCTAATTTTTCTCCCCTTGCAAGAAGGGAAACAAGACTGTTTCTCCACCTGTGCCTTTCTGAACTTATGCAACACTCTTTAATTTTCATATCCATTATTTTATTTAACCTCTAAGGTTTCATTATCTACCTTTGTGATAGAAAATAAAACTTAACTTTCTGGTCTTTGTTCTGCAGAGATATGCAGTCAGCATAATAGTATAACTGAACTCCACAGTCCTCTTAAGGTAGGAAGGTTTGGAAAGGCCACTATTGGCTACTTTGAGTAGCTTTGTTCCTGGAAGATCCTGACTCTGTACCACAAGGTACAACTGAGACAGTTGTAATCATAACATCTTAGTCATAGTGTACCTGGCAGAAAGGGGTTTTTGTGTAAAAGATCTTTGAAGAGTATAAAACACCAGACAGATAGTAACACTGCTAATTGTAATAGTAATATGGTCTTCCGAACAGCCAAAGGGCATTTTTCCTTCTCGTAGCTAACTTACATTCTTCATATGAGAGAGTCTGCTCACTTTTTCTTATCCCAAATTCTATCTGTGAATATATTATCTTTGGTATTTATATATAGGGCAGTCTATTTGTTCTCTAAGGGAAATCACCTCAGTTCCATTTTTAACTTCTCCTTTGAGATCTTACTAACCATTTGTTTATCTTTATAACTTTCTTTTTGGCCTTACTGCTTGTTAATGATAAGATCAAGAGCTGGACAAAGTCATGTAGTTCAAGTCAGATGAGATATCTAAATCATAGTTCCTTTATACTTTTCTCATATTTCTGCACATTAAGACAGTTATTTTCTCTTAACATGACGTTGAACCTCATTAAACTTCTATGACCTCTACAAATTTCCTACCCTATTTGCATCTGAGACCCCATTAGATTTTCATCCTGGGGTTTGTTAGTGTACATTCTCACTGCACTTTGTTCTATCTGTTTGCTTCTCCTATGCACTGTCTACAGATTTCAGAGCAGGGAATAAGAAGACCTATCAAGTCATGAGAGATATGGGCACATGTGCATAGAGTGAACAGTGACTGCAAAGAGGTAAGGAAAAAATGGAGCAGAGCAGGGGACAGCCTGTCACTCACCACATAGGGGGTCCCCAGACCCCTGTCATAGGTGGAAAGAAGGGCAGCCAGTGTCACCACTGCCCACTCACATTAAGTGATGCTTAAAACAATGAAAAAAAGACCCTTTTCACATGAATAGTTATATACCCATCCTGCAACCATGATGAGAACAAGAGATATAATAATTTTAAATAAGACCTCAGTCATGGGAACTACTATCAAAAAATGTAAACCTGATCTAAGCAATGACTGACAAAGACATACATGAATTAAATTTCTGAACCCATGAAAGCTTGAAAACCCATGAAATTCCCATAATCATCATCTGGAAGAATCTGAGAGTGAAAAATTGTCTATAGTTTGGAAAGATCTTTCCTAACAGGTTTGACTTTAGCTTGTTTCCTTCTATTTTGTGAAACACTGACTTTTGGTAAGTCTTCCTCAAAGGATCACTGTTCCAAAAATGTAACAAACTTCTATCAGAGTATATGAAATTATGTGTATGAACTATCCTCGTGTTGGCAGGGTATTTTTTTCCTGCACTCTTTATTATTTACACTGTCCTCATGATCTCACACAGATTATACTGTTGCTCATTCACACACCAGTGTTTACTATTCTGAAGCCATTTCTTAGCATCTCCTTGACTACAACCTTGGTCTAGCGGCTGCCATCATCTATGGCCACAGACTGCGCTCCACCCACTACATGTCTCTTCTCCACATGGCCATCAGAGATCTTTTGGAAGCATAAATCAGATCTGTGTCACACTGCTGCTCACACACAGAGATGCAGCCAGTGGCTTTCCCGTCGTCTGCAAGGAAGGCCCTGTGCAACCTGGCTATGGTTGGTCCCCTGCCTCATGCCCTCCCCCTCTCCTTTTCCCTCTGTCTGCTCCAACACATTGGCTATCATCTTATCCTGCCTGGAATATACTGTACTTGTTACTTGCTATTTCTTCTACCTGGAATGCTCTCCCCTCAGACCTCCCCATAGCCCCTTCTCCCTTTCCTCAGGGATCTACTCAGGAAGGCCTTCCCTGACACATGATGAAAAATTCTACCCCACCCTACACTGCTTTCCTTGTTTTATACTACTGAAATTGCTTCTGTGAGCATCATATTTCTCAGTCTGTGAGGATGCAAACCTCATGAGGGCAGGGACATTATCTGTCAATTTCATAGTAGCAGAAGCTAGGTAGTTCTTTACTGAATAAAAGAAGGAAAGGAGAGGTGGGAGAGGAAAAGAGCAAGGGAAGGAAGGGAATTCAGGAATTGTCTGGCTCTAAAATACATAAGAAAGTCTGCTAGGGATTAAGGCACATCCCTTTCTATACTCTACTGACTATTTTTAATGAGCATTTTCACCCACTTCTATAATTTGCTTTATTTTATACTTTCACTTGGAAATTTCTGAATTTTAAGGAACAGAAAGGAATGGTATAATTTCATTTCTTACAATTTTCACTAAAAAGCTTACAAAATATCAAAAAAATACTGATATAATAGTATACAGAATTCACAGAGTTTTCAAAGAAAAAACATACAAAATACTATTGTTATAACTGTGGTATTAAGAAGCAGATGTTGCAGATCAAAGCACACCAGCATTTCTGATCACTTTTGATAATACTGACATAGCATTTAACTTTGTTTAAATCATATTGTTTATCACTCTAATAGTTCCAGCTTTAACAACTGCTTCTTGGCAAACAGTGCTAATTTAAAAAGTCTGGGAAAGATGACAGTGGAATTTATATCTTAAAATAATAATTTTGATGCTTGTAGTTTATCTATTAGTGAACTTTCTACAAACAGTGTTCCTCTAGGTCTACCTTTCCCTCACCTGTGAAAGAAAAGGGCTGGACTCATTGGCCCCTAAGGTCCTTGCCAGTTCAATCTGAACTCAGTTTTATGGTTTCCAATATGTACAGACAGATCCCTTCACAGCACCCTTTGTGCTGACTTAAGGATGTCCAGAAAGGCATCCAGAACACAGGCCTGGTAACAAAGACCCCCAAAACTTCCATGAAAGAAGTGTGCCATCAGTGCCGGTCTGCAGTGACCTCAGTGAACTAAAAGCCACAGCCAAATATCACCAAAAGGAATCCCGACCATAGCCAGGGGAACAGTGAGGGCAGGTTATCTGCTGGTGAATGGTGGCTGGATGAAAGGAACATGCAAAAAATGGACTGGAAAGACATTTTAAAGGCAGAACTGAGAGACTGTATTTTGGATACATTAAGAAGTACAAAGCAGCTCTGAGGTGCTCTAGTGTGTGGCTGAGAACCTCTAAAAATGCCTCAGAACTTCATGTGCTATGAAGATATTCATTTTGGAGAAGAGGATGGGAAAAAAACCTAATTCACTGTTAACCTCTAGGGATATTATAAAAGCAGCAAACAAAGATTAAAAATGAAAATACTTTGCATAAGCATATTTTAACAATGCCATTATTATTTTTGACTCAGTCACTCTGACAATTTATCATTTAAAATAATTTGTTTTCCAAATGAATTTCAAACTTCAAGTCTGAAGAAACAAAAGTTAGTTTACAGCATTTTGGAACAGGGCCTATGAAGAATGATATTGGATTGGCCGAAAAATCCATATGGATTTTTCTGTAAAATAAAACACACATTTTTTCATTTTCATCAATAACTTTATTAATTTGGATACTCTGGGTATGTTGGCTATCTCTCACGTGGTATAACACTGATTGTTTTCAATTAACATATTGATTTGATCACTATCAACTTTAACTGGTCTATCCAACCATGGAGTATCATCATGTAGTGAGAAATCTCCAGCAAACTACTTGTGAAACACATTTGATCAGTCACAGCACCTTCTCCATATACCAACCAAATCTTTATTTGCATTTCAATTGTGTTTTTACCTTTCTTAAAATAATTTAAAGCATCATATGCCAAAATGTTGCATATTTTCTTTCATATCTGATATTAAAATGGCCACAAAAAATTTGCCAGTTTCGATGGGGTTTATTTAATACACTGCTGACATGACAGCTGTTACAATACAATCTAACAAAATTGTTTCAAAATAAGTTAAAAACAACTAAGCACTACTAGAGCCATCTTACAGAAAAAAATGAACAAACTCTTGGGCCAACCCAATATTATAAAAATCTCAGTTATATTACTTGTCTGCAAAACTGTTTGATTAAAATGTCAGTTTAAAATGAAAAAGTCTGCTATTAAAGTAACTTGACTACTTACTATTAATTCAAGAATATTTTAAAAAGCAATAGTGAAAATAAAGGACTATCAAAGTACTGAATATTTACCTTCTTCACAGAAAATTTTACAAAAGACTAAATATCATCTTATTGGTAATTCTGTAAAGCCATATAATATGAAAACTATAACATTTTAATTATTATGTTGAAAAGCAGAAACATCTGTTTTACAATATTAATTAATTTGAAATAAACTTACCATGTCTTTTTATTCATTGTAAGTTCCATTATCATGCGTCTAAAAATAATCAAAACAGCTTTACAAGCATCAGCTTGTTCTTTCAAGAGTATGGGAACTTCAGCACATGGTTCCAGCAAAAAGACATTTGCAGCATTTGTCAAAAATACCTTAAAATAAACAAATTTTCCTTTAGAAAATATTAAATATGAACAAATTTTGCTTAAAAATAAAGACACTAATTTCACTTTACCAATGAATCACCTTTGAGTTATTTCAAGTAAGGCAAAAATATGGTACCAACATATAGATTTTTTTAAATTCATCTCTTAGAATCACTCAAATATTGAGACATCTTGAGATCTTTCTTAAAAAATGTTACTATTACATATTATTAATATTGTGACTTTAGAAACTACAGGAATCAGAAGAGCTTTTTTAAATTTGACTTTAAGATTTTATTCATTTACTTTTAAAGACAGAATGGGGTTGGAGGAAAAGGAAACATCAATGTGTGAGAGAAACATGAATCAGTTGCCTCTAGCACACACCCAACCAGGGACCAAACCTGCAACCCAGGCCACATGCCCTAACACAGCATCAAACTGGTGACCTTTTGCTTGCCAGGATGATACTCAACCAACTGAGCCGCACCAGTCAGGGCCAGAAAAGCTTTTGAAAACCTTTGTTTGATATCTCCTCCAAAAAGAGAGGAAAAAAGATATGATCACTGCCTCTAGATGAGAAATTATTGTGTGAGGGAGGGAAAAGGAAGAGACACTGTGATCAGAAAGCGGTTGGAAAGAACTATCTGATTATTGTTGAATCTCCCAGAACATGAACAAACTCTGACAGGAAGCATAGCCAGTACCGCCCAACAAGGGTGTGGACTTCTAAAAGCAGTGGCATGCCAGGAAATAAATGCCACACAATTGACATTGCACATCTTCTAGGAGCATATATTTTTTTAATATGAGAACTCTACTGTGCAGTAGAATGTAAAACCTAAGTTAATTCTTTTTTTTTTAAGATTTTATTTATTTATTTTTAGAGAGGGAAGGGGGGAGAGAGAGAGAGAGAGAGAGAGAGAGAGAAACATCAATGTGTGGTTGCTGGGAGTTATGGCCTGCAACCCAGGAATGTACCCTGGCTGGGAATCGAACCTGGGACACTTTGGTTCCCAGCCCGTGCTCAATCCACTGAGCTATGCCAGCCAGGACTCTCTAAGTTAATTCTTAAGATAAGAACAGATTTCAAAAAAAATTTAATCAGCTGATCAATCTATGCTCTGCCTCAAACCTTTAGGATACAAGTTCACTATCTTCTAACATCAGGGAGGCGTGTTTCAGCAGGGAATTATGAGAAGCAGTGACCCAGGCTATCACATGACAAGTTTACTGCTTAGGGGCACTACAATAAAATTACAATGTGTTACCATTTAGACACATGACACTAGCAAACTCTCAATTGAGGAGGTTCTGAGTTGTCATTCTGGTAATGTGGATGGATCTGCTCCATATATCTAGAGCTATATTCCATTTTAGGTTTCCTTTGTGTTCAACAGTACAGATTCAAAGGATCTGGGAATAAGTAGAACTTTGGCTCACCTGTGGATGAAACCTGTTAGCATCTCAAAACAGATGCAAAATTGACCACAGAAAGGAACATACTCAAAAGTCAAGTGTATGAACTAAAATATTGACAGTCTAGAAAATTATCTTATACAATATTAAAAAGATATAATGCCCCAATTTTCTAGGAAAAATTACTAAATAAGTAGCATAATAGTTGATAATAGATAATAATAATGGTAAAGAATTCACTAGCCTTCAAGTAGGAAAAAAGAAAACAAAAAACCTTTTGACTAACAAACTAAAGCAGTTTTGGTGACTATGTTTTTAAAGAAAGTTTGCCATAGGTGACATGTTGCAATGCAGATCCTTTTCATTCAACATTATTTGGCTTCTTGATTTGAATTTGAAACTTTTGCATATTTTCAAGTAAAATTGAGGATGGAGAAAGAGTAGGTTTACAGTTATGAGTATGTGAAATACATTTTATTCTTGTATAATTACTTATTAATTACTGCATTATTTTCCCAACAAACAACTGTAAACCTACTTTCGCCATACCCTGTATTATACTTATTTCATTTTGCTTTTTAAAAAATATGAAAATGTGAATTACATGGATATTTCTTATGACCATGTTAGTATCTGTTAAGGTAAAAATAAACAAATTAGTAAAGTTAGTATGTCCACATTGTACTTAGGAACAGCAGCTATAGAAGAGTACTATCTTATCAAACCTCCATTTGGCTGCTTTTTCCTAGTGAATGGAGCAAAGGGCCCAGGTACTGGATATAGTGAGAATACAAACAGCTATTTAAGTCCAAACCAAATTTTTAAAAACCTGTAATGCTAAAATCAAGTAGAATATTTTTTCTTGGTTCAGCCAAGTAGTTGTAACTTATACTTTCAGAAAACAAGTAACAATCTTCTGAAGCCAAAGAAGTAACTGGCACCTGAAACCTGGCCAACATTGGGATGGTTGACAATAACAATCTGGCATCCACCTGAAGGAGGGGGCTACCAAAGGACTCAGGACAGGGACTCCTGCATGCATTTCTTTGGTAGGGACACAGGTTACATTTAAGAGCCTCACCAAAGTTCTGTGAAGCAACTAAAGTAAAATCATCTTGATTTTTAAAAAATTAAGTTGAAATTATTTGCCAACTTTCAGTGGAAAAGAATTCCATGATAAAAATCCTATCAAGAGACAGATGATAAAAATGCAATGTCATTGAAAGCTGAGTAACATGCATGCCATCCATGCCCATGCATGGAATCTGGTGATGACCAGACTCCACGCCTGTGCTGTGTGGGAAGCCTAACTGGACTTAGCCATAAATGTGCATATGGGATGGAAGATGGAGTGCCAGAGAACAGGGGAAGGAGTTTTCACTTATAGTTGTAAGTTGAATGGGACCAAGAGGTAATTTCCCAATCCCTATTTCTGAGATAAAATACTGAGGATGGGGGAAATTAAGTGATGAGCCAAGGTTGTTCTTTCCAATCTTTCCAAATGGTATCATTTCTATTTTATGAATTCATTCAGATAACTATATAAAAATTATTGCATTAATCATCACTCTTCATAAATACAGGCAATTTTTAAGAGGAATACTACTTATAAGATTATATAATCAACCACACTTATCTTGCAAATTAGAGTCCAGGTAACTAATTACCCATATGTATAATGAAGACACTTTTAAGATTTAAATCTCAGTCATTTCACATTTACTATATAATAATCATTCTTAAAAATGTGCAACCGCTTCATATGTCTCCTTTGACAGAAAAAAAATCTTTACAAATTGAAAGAAATATGAAAGAAAACTTAAAATGAGAGTTTAAGAGCTGTTTACTGACAAATGGCTAAAAATATTACCACACTTATAGGACCCTATCTTAATATACAAATGTTCAGACTGACTCCAATTGGGTGCCTTTATGTCTCTGGCTGGCCAGCAGCATACCTGCAGCACAGCCTGGGCCCCAGCTTTCACATTCTTATTTTCCTCTTCTGTCACACACCCTCTGCTCACAGCGCTTGTGAAGGAGTATGTTCGTCCCCAACTGGAAGATCGCTTATGACCGGAGCTTTCAGATGCAGTCTTTAGAAAATAACAATCAGTTAACAGAAAGGAAAAAAGCACGTACGCAAATATTTAATTCCTTACATTAACCAGAATTCATAAGCATAGGTTCTAGAAGGGCAAGGTTTTTTCCCCATTTTGCTTACCACTTTACTTCTAGCACCTAAACTGTATAGTCTGTCAGTTAGCTATGTGCTGACATAAACATACAATGACTGAATGAACATGTAATACATAAACCTTTAAAATGTATGATTAATTCCATTTGCTTATCTATTGATTTTGACCTCTTGGCTAGTTATTAAAATGATTTCACCAATACTGAAAAATCAAAATTATGTAATTATTAATACAGATATTTAGAAGTGATAGGCCTTTGGTTACAAATATTTTTAAATGTTTGTTAACTGCTATGACAAACACCTATTTTTAGAAATAATATTTCTCTAGCCCTGGCTGGCGTAGCTCAGTGGATTGAGCGCGGGCTGCAAACCAAAGTGTTGCAGGTTCGATTCCCAGTCAGGGTACATGCCTGGGTTGCAGGCCATGACCCCCAGCAACCACACATTGATGTTTCTCTCTCTCTCTCTTTCTCCCTCCCTTCCCTCTCTAAAAATAAATAAATAAAATGTTTTAAAAAAAGAAAAAAAAAAAAGAAATAATATTTCTCAGGCTAACTTTCAAAATAGCACTCCATAAATATAGATTTGACTGAAGTTTCTTTTGTATTTTAGAAACAGGTCCCACTCTGTTGTTTTATATTAATCCAGCCTGTACCTTTATCAAACACAGACTAAGAGGTCCATTCTGAGAGCACCCACTCTCTAAGAACAGCACCCAGCCCACAGTGAGGCTTACTTATGGTAGAGAAAGCACTCATTATTGGGCTAGTCTTTTCAAGTGTGTAACATCCTGACTGCTTCTGGAACAGGCCACTACATAAGAAAAGGCTGCCAAACATTCTAAATTTAGTTTCTCAAGTGTTATTTATTTAAACATGTCAATGATAAGGCAGTCTCCATATGAGCCTAACATTTTAGGCTCATATGGAGACATGTAAAATATGATGGTTTATTTTGTAACTTTTGTGCAATGGTGAATAATGAAGCTGCAATGCACCTGTGGACCTAGCCTGAGAGTTAGATAACCAATGATCTTGTATAGAGCACAGACACAGTCTCACTGAGACAGGTCCTCAGGACTGTCTCAGCAACTTGAGAGTATAGGAGATAATAGAAGAGATCAACCTGCCTGGGATCTATGACTTAGTAGGTATACTTAGCTAAAAAATTTTATACATTTTATATTTGTGTGTGTGTACATATGTGTATATATTCCCAACTGAAACAAATGATAAAATATTACCTCCTTGCTGTCAGTCTCAGAAAATCCTAATTTTTCAGCATCTGCTTGGGCAACTTCTTTTTTATCTGGTTCCTCCATGAACACAGGTTTGTCCTGGAGGATCCATTTTTTGTACACTTGAACTACTTTCCTTGTTACAGCTATGTCACAGGAAGGCAACAAAAATGCCTAAAATGAAAAGAGAAAACCACCTTTAACTCCACATAAGTTAAGATCACTAAAAAGACACATGACAGACATTTCTAATCAACCTCACCAATTTCAGACTTTCCCTTAAAACATATAGCAAGTAATACACTACACAGGCTATATATTTTTGTGGATACCAAACTTATCTGAAGAAAAAAGCATTTTCATAATTGGGCCAGAAAATATAATGAAATTTAAAAATAATTTCTATATTCTGAACAATTTTTCCACAAAAATAACCAAAATGAAAACCTATACAGATAGTCCAATTAGCAATATAAACAATAACAACTGTACAATGGGGAACTTTTCCCAATGAATCAGATATAAATTTAAGATAACAAACTAGCACAGCCGGTTGCAGCCAACTGTCACATCTCTTCCCAACTCCATATTCAGTGATGTCCCTGTTGGTAGCTTGAATTAGCCAAAGTGAAAGTACTTATACCCCAGAAGTCTGCCAAAGATACCATTTGCTTTTGCTTTTATTTTCTTGTCTTTGCCTTTCTCTTTGTCTTTCTTTTCCTTCTTTCTTTCCTTCCTTCTTCCTTTCCTCCCTCCCTCACTTTTTTGAGAGCCAGTTGTTCAATATTTACCAGCACACCACTATGTAGAAATACTAATGGTAATGACAGCACTGGCCAGTTATAGCATTATGCATACTTAGTACATTTGACATTAAGAAATCCTCTTATATATCTACATAAGATTTTGATTTAATGTAATAAATTTCAAAACTGTAAAGGGAAAATGCATTTGCCTTTTTAGTATAAGCTTTAAGAAATACTTCTGTATAAGGGCTAAACACAAAGAAGTACTCAACATGCCAATGAATGCTTTAATTCCATAGATGAGAAATTAAGATGATACTCAAAACAACTGAGATATTTTCCAAGGTTATAAAGTTAATAAGCAATGAATCCACATCTTGATCTCAAGTTTCTGACATTGTTTTAATACTGTCCTAAAGCTTCATGCTTCAGGATCCAGTTAAAGGTAGAGTTCAATGCAACAATGGTTTATATAATATATAAATATCCATAGGCATTGACCATATCTCAAGAAATTCCAGAATAGAGAAGTTTCTGTTATAACAAGATTGCAACATATCAATGTATCGAATATTCTGATGTGTGCTGCAAGAAAGATGAACAAAAGCAGAGTGTAACAAAAGTATACTGGTATGCCATTCTAATTTTGCTGCAAAATTTTATTACAAATGTTTTCACACATAGAAAAATTTCTAAGACTTTTACCATGATTACCCATATACCCATCCCCTAGACTCCACCATTAGCATTTGTGCTATATTTGCTTTACACACATCTGTCAATACATCCTTGTATCTATCCTTCTTTTAATTCATTTTATTTTCGATGCATTTCAAAGAAAGCTGCAGAAATCAGCACCCCTAAACATTTTAGCATGCATATCACTGCCAGTTCAAAATTAATTATCATACTTAGATAAAATTTATAAACAATAAAATGCACAAATGTTAAGTGGAGCATTTGACGAGTTTTGACAAATGCAGACAATGATTTAACTCAAATCCAATAGCAAGGTGTATCATGTTATACTCTTTCCAGAAAACAAATATAAATTCTCTCTGGATGAAAATAAAATAATAATGAAACCAAAACTATTTGTATGAACAGTCTAGCTAGTATGATATGTAGCATACTGATAAAAAGTCAGAAATATTAGAAGTCAATATTAACAAAACAATAATAAATAGACAGTTTAAAAATACATATATCTAGATAAAGTATCAGAAAAAGATGTAAAAGGAGTTGAAAAAATAACTGAAATGAAAAACTCAGAATGAACACAGCGGAAGAGAAAACCAGATAAAATATATCAGAAGAAAACAACATCTGGAGTGAAGCTTGAGAGACAAAAGGATGGCTAATGAAAAGGTTACCCTATACACAGCAGGAGATGCAGAGGAAAGATTAGTGAAAGGAGCAGAAATAATGTTTAAAGAAAGAATGTCTGAGAATTCTGCCAAAATTGTTAGGAGATATCAATCCACAGATTCAAGAATCAGAAAATAACACATGCAGGATAAATACAAAGTACACTACAGTAAAACTGCTGAAAACCAAAGAAAATCAGAAAATCTTAAAAGCATCCAGAGAGAAAAGGATACATTTATTCTAAACAAGCAACAAAATGACTTAGCATGACTTCTCAAAGAAATAAAGCAAGCCAGAAGCCCGAAACAAAATACTCAATGTGCAGAAAGAAGACAGCTGCCAATGTAGCATTGACATCCTAAAAGAATATATTTGTAAAATGAAAGCTGAATAAAGACATTTTCACATAAGAAAATAAAAATTTTACCAGGAGATCTGACCTAAGGGAAATACTAAAAATTATTTTATCTTTACGCAGAAGGAAAATAATCCTGGGTCACAGATTTGGATAGGGATAGAATGTAATAAAAGAGTAATTATTTAGATAAATCTAAGTAAATACATATATATGAATAAAATAAATAAAATTGTGTAATTATAGTACTTCTGAAAGAGATAATATATATGTATTTATAGGTATATAAAACATACTACACTACTCAAAACATGGAATTCAAATACATAACAGCACAAACTGAGGAGTAAATAAAAGTGCATATAAAAGGGTGAAAGTTGGAATTAATGCTAGATTTTTAAGTTACAGATGTGGGCTGTCAACCATTAAAATATAACAAATGAGTGCAAAAATACTAATCTGAAGGAGAAAAAACAGGATGCTAAAAACAACACCCTGAAAGAATTCAAGACAACTAGAAAGTAGAAAGACTATAAACTTAAACATAATTATATCAGTTGTACCTTAAATGGAGCTGGTTGAATAATGTTCCAAATGAAAGTGGAATAACTCTCAAAATGAAAGAAATTATAAGACTGAACTTTAAAAATACTATAAGCCATTTATAAGAGGACACTAAAATACATTGATATGTGTGGGTTGAAAATAAAAAGTTAGGAAAAGCTATGCAAAAGGCTATGCGATGCAAACATTAACTGAAAGAAAACCAGTAGAGTTATATTAAGAACAGACAACATCAACTTTGAAGAAGGGAAAAAAAGCATTACTAGAGGAAAAGAGAGAAATTTCTTAATGATAAAAGATTCAATTCAAGCTAATAATATTTCTAAATCTGTACCACAACTAATAATTATGCCTCAAAGATATACATCAAATATTGACTGAAGAAAAAGTAGACAAATCCAGTCTGACTAGGATCTTCTCAGTAACTGGCATAACAGCAGACAAGAAATAATAAGGAAGAGGAGAGCTAAACACATATTTCTTGCCTTCTCACTATATCCTCCACGTCTCAACCTCTCATACTTTTCATCTCTCTGAGGTACATTCAGGATAATAATTTCTTCAGATATGTCATCTAGTTTATTCTCTATTCAGCTGTATCTAATCTGCTATTAAAATTATTACTGAATTTTTTCCTTTAATATTTCAATTGTTATAATTTTTAATGTTGAAAAGTTCCATTTTCTTACTATTCAAATTTGTTTACTTCTGGCCAAGATGGAGGCATAGGTAGACACACTGTGCCTCCTCGCACAACCAAGATAGGGACAACAACAATTTAGAAACAGAATAACAACCAGAACTGATAGAAAATTGAACTATATGGAAGTTGGACAACCAAAGAGTTAAAATAGACACGTTCATTCAGACTGGTAGAAGGGGCGGAGCCGGGCAGCCAGTGAAGGTCGTGGGGCAGAGGGCAGAGAGCATTGGGACCCAGTGCCTAAGGCATCTGGGCCTGCAAGCAGCAGCTAGCAGACCCCGGCTGAGGGGTGGCAACAGGCAGACCCAGAGAAGCTGCGATTGTGAAGCAAGGCACTGCGTACAACCCAGGATCCCAGCGCTGGGACACAGAGCCTTGGGGCACTGATTGAAAACACCTGTGGGGGTTGAGGCACAGGGAGAAACTCCCAGACTCACAGGAGAGGTCACTGGACTCACTGGAAGGCCCCATGGGGTGCACAAGCCCACCCATACCAGAATTGGCACCAGAGGGGCACAGTTTGCTCGGGGGGAGCGGTGGAAGGGACTGAGGTCCCAGGGAGAGCGGAGCAAGCGCCATTGTTCCCTCTTGGACCCCGCCCCACATAGCGCGTCACAACCCAGTGACTGGTACCCCGCCCTGGAGAACACCTAAGGCTCTGCCCCTCATACATAACAGGCATGACCAGACCAAAGGGGGGAAAAAAAAAAAGATTGGCTCAAACAGAAGAACAAATCAAAGCCCCAGAATTAGTATTTTTAAGCGACCGAGAGATAGCCAACCTATCAAATGCACAGTTCAAAGCATTGGTGATCAGGATGCTCACAGAATTGGTTGATTTTGGTTGAAAATTAGATGAAAAAACGAAGGCTACAATAAGTGAAGTGAAGAAAAATGCACAGGGAACTAATAGTGATGGAAAGAAAGCTGGGTCTCACATCAATGGAGTGGACCAGAAGGAAGAAAAAAACATACAATCAGAAAAGAATGAAGAAATAATAATTTTAAAAAGTGAGGAGAGGCTTAGGAACCTCCAGGACATCTTTAAACATTCCAACATCCAAATTATAGGGGTACCAGAAGGAAAAGAGGAAGGTCAACAAGTGGAAAAATTATTTGAACAAATAATAGAGGAGAACTTCCCCATTCTGGCAAAGGAAATAGACTTCCAGGAAGTCTAGGAAGCTCAGAGAGTCCCAAAGAAGTTGGACCCAAGGAGGAACACACCAAAGGCACATCATAATTACATTAGCCAAGGTAAAAATGAAGGAGAGAATCCTAGAAGCAGCAAGAGATAAGAGGACAGTCACCTACAAAGGAGTTCCCATCAGATTTTCAGCTGATTTCTCAAAAGAGACCTTACATGCAAGAAAAGGCTGGAAAGAAGTATTCCAAGTCGTGAAAGGCAAAGACATACACCCATGTTTGCTCTATCCAGCAAAGCTTTCATTTAGAATGGAAGGGCAGATAAAGTGCTTCTCAGATAAGGTCAAGTTAAAGGAGTTCATCATCAGCAAGCCCTTATTTTACGAAATGTTAAAGGGACTTATCTAAGAAAAAGAAGATAAAAAACATGTATAGTAAAATGACAGCAAACCCACAGTTATTAACAACCACACCTAAAACAAAAACAAAAACAAACTAAGCAAACAACTAGAACAGGAACAGAACCACAGAAATGGAGATCACATGGAGGGTTAGCAACAAGGGAGTGGGAGGAGGAGAGAGGGGGAAAAGGTACAGAGAATAAGTAGCACAGATAGTAGATAGAAAATAGACAGGGGGAGGGCAAGAATAGTATGGGAAATGTAGAAGCTAAAGAACTTATGACACATGGACATGAACTAAAGGGGGGAATGTGGGTGGGAGAGGGTGTGAAGGGTAGAGGGGAATGAAGGGGGTAATGGGACAACTGTAATAGCATAATCAATAAAATACATTTAACAAAATTTGTTTAGTATTTTCATAGGTCAATCATCTTCCTTCTGGATCTTGACTATTCAATTCAAATTAAATCATTACTGTCCATGTATGTGTATAACAGATGCATTGCTATGGCAACATTAATGGGAGGAATATGGCAGATTTTTTTTAAGATGAAATAGAGTTTTGATTTTTTTAAAAAAAAGTATTTATTTATTTTTAGAGAGAGAAGGGAGGGAGAAAGAGAAAGAGAAACATCAATGTGCGGTTGCTGGGGGGCGAGGCCTGCAATCCAGGCATGTGCCCTGACTGGGAATCGAACCTGCGACACTTTCGTTTGCAGTCCCCGCTCAATCCACTGAGCTACGCCAGCCAGGGCCAGATTTTTAAATAATGAACTATTATGATGAAAGAATGTTTTGGCAGCCCAATGTATACAGTATAGACTAGAAAGAGATGACACAGAAGGTGTAGGACTCCAAGAAGCATGCTGCTAACCATGGTCAAAAGAAAAGGAGTGAAAAACTTCCTGCATAACTTGGCTAGTCAGTGATGGCTCATAGGAGGAGAGGATAAGGAACCTAGGAGGGCTAAAATTAATATGCACCCAAGAAAGAAGCAGTCTAGTCAGGAAGAGTTGATGTTAGGGAAGAAATGAGATAAATTTTGGCCTTGTGTTCATGAGGATAGCACAGGAATGTCAGATATCACAAGTGAGCATTTTAAAGAGAAATGTGGAATTAAAAAGCAAGGTCTAAGCACAAAAAAAGACTTGTTTGGAAGTCTCATGCAACAGTAGTTGCTGGCACTAGACAAGCAGTTGAAGACCCCAAAGAGACAAGAGTGGAGTTATAAGAGAAAGGGCTCAAGCCCAGAATTTTGGTCAACTCTTATAATTTGGGGTGAAACAAAAAGAAGGGAAAAAATGAGACAGAGAAGACAGCCAGGAAGCGAGATGAACTAAGGCAGTGCTGGGTCACAGAATCAGAAAAAATATATTATAAGGGGAATTTTAATTACAGATTAAACAAACATTTTCTTAAGCAAAATTTTACTTTCATTAAAATAAAAAATACAATAAACCTCTAGATTGTTATGGATTATGCTGGAACTTTTATTTTTGGTTGATTTTTCTTTAATGGAAGTCTCAGAAATAAAAGAGTTGATCATTTACTATCTGGAAATCTTTTCTCTTCATGGCGCATATGCATCACTCATATGTACAGAATTTGCTTCTTTTCAACATTCAGGGGCCTCAACCTCTGCTCTGGTACATGGATGAAACAACTATTCCCCCATTATACACACATGTGCACAAAAGAGCCATGCTCTCTGTTTCCAAGGCACCAGTACCAAGACATAGGTGGCCAGTGGCTCCACTGCACACTACAGAGCTGCTGTCTTCCTAACTATATTGAAGGTTTCCTTGCTCTGTCAGATTGCTATAGCTCAGTTTCGCCACAACAGCACTGATGACATTTTGGGCCAGACTATTTTTTGGGGGGTCAGGGGAGAGTGGCTGTCCTGTGTTTGTAGAATATTTAACAACATTCCCAGTGGTTACCCACTAGCTGCCAGTAGCACTGTCCTCTCCCTAGTTGTGACAACCAAGTATCTCCAGACACTGCCAAACATACCCTCAGGAGCAGAATCAGCCTTGGTTGTTGCTCATGGTTGGTAATCCCTCCCCCAGCCTCTGATCACTTCTGTCCTCTTACTTGCCTGCCCTCTGTTGCCCTCCTCACCCACCTTTCTTCACTTATGCCAGAGATACTTGTATTAGATGTGCATGACATAGGCTTTTGCAGGGCAAGTACAACTTTCTGCAGGAATCTTGAGCTCCTCAGAGAGCTTTTTAGGCCCTTGGAACAATACCAGATCTGGGTCCTTCTTTCCTTGTTCATTTGTTCAAGCATATTCAGGAATGATTTTACTTCCACCTACCTCTGGTTTTGAAGTTTGTTATGGAAACATGAGGTATTTTGGAATGATTTTGCTTAAATATAAAATTTTCCCTCCACATGTAGTAATTCTACAAAAATACAATTTAAAAAATTCACAAATGAAACAGTCACAATACTCCAGATGACAAATTAAAAGCAGGTAAGAAGGATTATTCAATCATATAATTTAACCCAACTCATCAACACTATTTCTTGGAGTATTATGAGTAAAAGAAGAACAAAAATCTCTTCAATATCATGAACACACACACTAACCTGGCGAAATACTTCATTCACAAAATTGATATAACCTCGTGTTGACAAGAGAATCCGCTGCACCATTTCATACATGGTTCGGTGCTCTTCTTCAATGCTACAAAGGCTAGAGTTGCTGAGTCTCCGGTCTGACAAGGTGCTGCTGTTAGAATGGTTTTTGTCTGGCTCTGCAGGTCCACCACTCTCCAGCTCTGGTGCCCTCTCTTGAACTATACCACCACCAACAGTCTGGAAGAAAGTTATTACCACTTCTGAGTCACCCTCTTTGGCACTCAAGAACACCTAGGAAAATTGAAGACTTGCTTTATTTTAAAGAACTCTGGTTACAATCAACTTGACAACAAGCTGGAAAACAGCACTGCCAAGAAGCACAAGGGACTCCAGGACCTAAACTTCCCAACTTTCCAATTCACCAGCTGACCCCTCCCCAACTCAGTTATTTTAATAGGAAAACTACCAAATTATTATAGGAAGGAAGGTTGTGAAATTTTACCAATGTAAAACATTTTATTTATGTTTGTAAAATCACAGAATAAATTAACATGTGAATGAATTGATATTATCATCATCTTTGGTCTCTACACTTAGGCATTTATTCTACAGTTGCAGAGACTTGATAATTCAGCAAATAATTTGAAGCCACAATGTTGCATGCATCATTTGACTCACAAGACTAAGTGACAACTTGATGGGGAGTGCCCAGATCTTTAAAGGGTATAAGAACCTTGATCTGAGTTTTATATCTAGATCAAACTTAACTGAAATATTTATAAAACTTTAAATATCTAGGAGACTATAAGAACAGAAAGAAATAAAATAATTCATGCAGTGGGTCACAAAGTTTAACATTGGTTTCTGCTCTCATTTTCCCAGAGAATTAAATGCTTCCTCCAAACATGTATAATTTCACTTCATTTTTGTAAATTCCACTATTACTCTTTTAAGTGCCAAAGTAACTAACCTAGGTACTCCTAAAATTCTACCCACTGTAAGTATTTTTATAAGAAGTAGTAAGATATGAGTAGTACAAAATAGTCATTTCAGTAACTACCTTGGACAGTTTGAAAGCAAAGCAGATATCGAAATAGTAATCTCTAGGGAAAATTAATGGAATATTTATAATTTTTCTCTTCATGCCTTAATTATTAAACCTATATGGCTTATCAAAGGCACTGTCACATGTTGAGATGAGGTACCTATAGAAATTATTTTATCTTTTTGATGGATTAACTATATTCTACAACAAATTTAAATTTTACTCATTTTTAGTAATATATGTTTTATTTTAATTGGTAAAGCATGGAGGCTGGATTAAGTTTAATACCTCTTGAGGCTTATAACCTGTGACTTTTTGATCAACAACTCCCATTTTCCCCACAAGCCAAAAAAGGAAATAAAAAACATACATACAATAAATATGTAGCAAATTAAAAATGGCCACAAATTCTTTGACATTCTTTGTGTAGAAAGATGAAGTTTATGTCCCCTCTCTTTGATCCACACGAACTGTGTGACTGTGTTAACCAGCAGAATGGAATAGAAGTAACCTGTGCCAATATCAGGCCCAGGCCCCAAAGGTTGACTGTCACCCTTCCCCATCTCTTGGAACATTTGTTCTTAATGCCCTAAGCACACAGGAAAGAAGTCCAACTACTCTGACAAATACTATATGGAAAGATAGGCCCAGCTAGGCCCAGCCTTCCAAATGTGCCCACCAGAGTAAGACATGTAAGTGAAGTCATTTTGGACCTTTCAGACTAGCCAGCTGGCAGCTGAAGACCTTACTACCCAATGACCTCAGTTAATGCCACATGACATAAGAATTGCCCAACCAAATCCCACCCAAATTCCTGAACCAGTAAGTGAAATATGTAGAATGATAAGAGTTTATTTATTTAAGCCACTAAGTTTTGAGCTCATCAGATAACTAATTAAAAAAATAACAATTAGATAGCTAAAATAATGTAGATAAAGAACTATGTTTAAAGGTACCCAGTCATTCAAAAAAATAAGTTGTTATCCAAATAGAACACAATGGTAGCATAATGGATTTCCTATCATGCCTTAATTAAAATTAGTTGACCCTTGAACAACATGGGAGTTAGGGACACCCACCTGCCAGAGTCAAAAGCCTGCATTTAACCTAGGATGCTCCCCCACTAACCCCTGCTGCATGGGCAGATTCCCAACAAATGAAAAATAATGTACTCCTGATAAAACAATGCTTTTCTTAGCCTCCTCTAGACCACACTCCTTCCACAAAAGGCTGCTTTCCAAAAGTATCAACATGTTTTGACAGACAATTGTAATTATAGTAAGTAATGAGAGTGAAAACAAACTGATAATCTAAGTCTATTCATTTCTGATCTCTTTTAGGAAGATTAACCATGAGAGCATGAATAAGAATTAACCACAGCAGAAAGAGGTCCATTTTCCACCCACTACAATCAGGCTGGAATCCCCATTATTATTTGGTATTAGCTAACTTGGTGGTAAATGCAAGAATGAATCTTACTCTTTGGCATATGATGAAGCCTTAGGGAAAGACATATCTGCTTAGACCATGCCTGCACTGCCAGGGCTCAGGGAATTGCTTGATACAGACTACCTTTTAATCCCTTCCCCTCAACCCTCCCTACTACCCTGGTTTCTTTTTAACCCACATCTCAAAGGGAGAGTTGTTCACACTCAAGGTAAGGCTCAACGAGGACACCTGCAAAGTAGGTGTGAACCAGAATGCAACTGAGTGCCTGATGCTACTCAGTTCCCATCATGATGTGCATGCATGGTTGGGGGCAGCCTACATTTTCCCTGGAGAGCTTAAGAACACAGAAAGTATTAAAGTGGTAGTCAACAAATGCGTTTGTACAATATATTAACCTCTGTAGGGCTGACAATTTATGCCATTCACTTTCTCTAACTGTTCATCTCATTAAATGGAACAATTTCAGGAAATCCATAGCCCCATGAATCATTATTACAGGGCTAGTTCAGTAAAAGTGATACTTCAGTAATGTAACTAAAAGAGTTATCATACAAATAAATGTGATTAAGTATCTTACCATCTCAAAGTTTCTTTTTCATTCACTAATGGACTTCTCTGGGTTTTACTATTTAATTAATGTACATATAGAACTAGTAAAACAACAGTTGCTGCCACAATTAAAATCACCATTCTGCTTTTTCTATTACACATTGAAATACTACTGTCTTATAAAAACGAATCATTAAGAAGTAATTCTTCACTGAAAACATTTTAAACTAAAATGATGAACAAAGATTGTTCAGATATAAAAGGAGGTATTGCTGTTATTGCCAACATATTATAGATGCATTGGATATACTTTTTGTTCTTCTATGAAAGACACCAGATTCTCTGAGTGGAAAATAAGCTAAGTCTAGAAGATGCACTAATTCCTTTCTTCCTTGGTGAAAAATACTGTCAAATGTATTACTTTTAATCAAGAGGAAGTAAATTCTCTTTGGGAAAAAAAACACACAACACACACAAAACCCTCCTTATGCATGACCTTTAACATAGTAATAGTGGCCAAAGTGTGAATTCTATTTAGAAGCAGCACTTAAACTAAAGTTTTAAAGGGCTTTCACAAAAACAGTATATTCTTTGAAAAGAAATTTTGGACCACCTGACTTAGACAGTGATGTTCATTTTACATGATTAAAATTATATTAAATTTGAAATTCTGAACAAAAATATTCAGGAGACAAAATGCAATTGCATGTCCTTTTATTCCTGCAACTTCATTTCCAAAGGTTAACATTCAGTTGTTTAAACTGCTTTTTCTCACATATAATGTAAATGAACTGCAGAACACAGGAGATGCATGTGAGATGAGGTGGGAACCACAGCTGTAAGGCAGAGAACGTAATATAGCAGACAACTGGTTAGCAGAATAATGACCCCCGAAAGATGTCCATACCTTAACCCCTAGAACCTTTGAATGTTAATTTATGTGGCAAAAGGGACTTAACAGATATGATTAAATTAAGGACATTGAGATGGCGAGATTATCCTGGGTTATCTGTGTGGTCCTGGTGTAACCATAAGGATCATAAGGGGTAAGGAAAAATGAGACACAGAAAAAGTGATATGAAGATGCAAACAGAGGGAGAAAAGATGATGTGATGAGAGATCATAAGCCCAGAAATGCAGGTAGCCTCTATAAGCTGTATAAGGTAAGAAGACTGATTCTGCTCTAGAGCCTTCAGAAGGAACACAGACCAGCCAACACCTTGGTTTTATTCCACTAAGACTGACTTTGGACTTCTGACTTCCAGAACAGCAAGACCGTATATTTGTGCTGTTTCAAGACACTAAGTTTGTGGTAATTTGCTATAGAGGCAATAAGCAACTAATATAACAGCTTACTATGAGATGTTTTAATAGTCTCTACAGCGACAGTGGCATTTCTATGCACAGCCATCTTCAGGGTGTGGTAGCACTGAGCACAATGGTTGTCTGCCCAGCATCCACTCCCACTCCCTGACAGAACCCCAATGCTTGGTGTGCCTCTTTCCATGAAGCCCACATTGACTCACAAGAAGCTGACCCAATCCACAGTACCAAGGGAGTGTTCTGTTTCATCATGGAAGCAATTGTCCCTCCCTCCTGCAACATTCTCACACCCAGTTTTAAGCTAATCAGTGCCTTGTTATGGTTCTAGAAGTGGGCAGGTAACCTAAGTTGTACCACTTAGACAAAAGGAATGGCTTTGTATTTTCAGTTGTCTCTAAGCATGAACAATGAGCATAATGCCCCAGCTTGGAATTATTGGGAAAGCTGAAGACACACTTGCCAGAGGGGAAAAAAAGGTTGAGTAGAAAAGAGAAAACCGCAGAGAGCATGAGTGAACCTTATTGTCAGCCACATTATTCACTTCTTTTTCATGAGATTAAAATATTTCTTTTTATGTTTTAGTTCAGTTTCGGTTCTGGTGTCCTTTTTCTGTTACAGTGATAAAAATCACCCTAATTTATTGAGGAATTCAGACCTTTATGACACTAAAAAAGAATAAAAGTAGATGACTCACAAGTGTGAAGAGTCAACTAAGGGAAAAAGTTATAACCTTGAAGCAGTGGTTAATTTGCTATTCTTGCAACTTCTCATCATCCAAGTGAGAAACTTATTTTCAATAAATAAAGGTGATGGTTTTTCAAAAGTTAGAAACTAGGTAGGAAAGTTACATCCTTTAGGTGGACTGTTTTGAATTGACTGAAAAACCACACAGATGCATTGTAAACTTTATCAGTGTGATTGAGTTTCTTCTACGTAATTTCACAAAAATTTTTGTCTAGATGACTGGTGAATAAATCTCTCATCGTGGCTCAGAACAAACTATGTTTCCCTGACTTCTGGTGAAATCCAGGCCCATTTTTATTTTCTCTTCTGCAAATTTTCCTTTACCTCCTTTACCCATTTTTCAGTTGGGCCATCTGTCTTCTTATCAATTTGTAGGCACTCTTTATACAGTAGAGACATGAGTTCTGTTAATAGTCATGATGTTAAAAATGCTTTTCACAGTCGACTGCTTGGGCATGGCTTTATGCTATCTTTTTGACACAAATCTTTTTCTATTTTTTCAAATAAAGTCAAATGTAATTTCCTCCATGGCTTGGGAGCCTTATCTCTACTTAAGATGGTCTACTACTTGCCAAATTTATACATTTCCCTAGATTTTTCCCCAAGTTCTTTACTATTTTGTTTTTATAAATCAATCTGACATTTGCTTATGTATGTGATGTGAAGCAAGGAAGTTCTGAGAGAGACAGATAGCCAGGTTCTTTCAGCTTCAGAGCTATAGGTTACATTGCCTATTCAACGCTAAGATAGGTCTTATTCCTTTGAAGAAACCTCTAATTTCTGTCTGGAAGCTGTATAGTTTTTTCTTAATCCCTGAAATTCAAAAGCCTAGATTTGTGTCTGTTTATCTAATTCTTCCTGGGACTCAAAGGCCTCTTAGTCTAAAACATTTCTTTTTGGCTCAGGTAAACTTTTCTCTATACTACTAGTTCAATTATTACTTCTCATTCTTTTCTCTTCTGCCCTCACAATATTTGTATGTTATGTATGAATCTGTCCATAACTCTTATTTATTTCTAATTTCCAAGTCTTTGAATATTTTGCTCAGTGTTGTAGGATATTTCTTCAGAAAACTAATTTTGTTCTCAGCAGTAATCACTACCATCTTTGGTTGTACCTACTAAGTTTTTGTATTAAAAAATTAAGGTTTTTTAAAACATTCAAGTCTTTTGTTGTTTGTACTGATATTGTGTCTCTATTAGACTTCTTTGAAAGTATGTTTTTCCAGTTCTTCAGTCAGTTCAATGGGGCCAGATGCTCTGGACTTCAGTTTAGTACTCCTTCATCAAGGTGCCAATTACCCCTCAGGTGTGTGTACTTTCTCAAGTCAGGCCTAAGTCACACTGCTAGGGAACTCTAGGGCAAACCAGCACTACATAGACCACACTTCTGTCCCTGTTCTTAGAAACAACAACAACAAAAAAACCCCCCTCACAAAACCATAACTCTTCTGTGAAGTGTCTGCTCTCTGACTCCACAAGTGATCCTGCTCTACCTAGCACTAAGTCCCTAAGGAACTCAGAATACTGGTCAAGCCTCATTTGCATTTGACCAAGGCCAGTAAGGACCAGAAGGCCCCATAGAAGAAGTCTTCACCTAATGCCTCAAAGAGAAGCAGCCTTCTCTTCCAGGGACCCCAACAAGGCTCAACAATCACCCCCAAATCTTGAGCTGCTGATCTATTCTTCCTGAGTTCCAGACAGCACTTGGCAGTCTCACAGATCTTCTCCATAGCCTATCTGCACAATTCCTAAGGGCCTTCCAGATACTGGGGACTGGAAAAAAAACAAGACAGGCCCTGTGTAATGCTCAGAAGTCACTGGACCAGAGTGAAGAGGGAAAACTGAGATGGAGCCAGGAGTGTACAAACAACCATCTTTTCAGAATGCCTCCCCTCACCCTCAAGATTGCCTCATCATGGGTATGCCAATAGAGTACAAGTCCTTCTAACTCAAGTTTCTTATGAAACCTTGGCATTTTAGACATAGAATACACAAAGAAACTGAGAAGAACCTGTAAGAAACTTACAACAACCTGTAAGAACCAATAACTCTAATAATCAAATAATTTGTGTCACTGTGTGATATTACATACATATGAAGATATAAAAAGATGATGATGACATACCTGCATAATTTTAGGCAATACATCGCCTCCATTTTTAGTGTTTTGTGCTGTACTTAGATACTTTTTTTCCAAAAAGAAAGTTACAATCCACTGAATAAAAACAACACGTGCTGCCATGTATGGAATTTTTGTACTGTAAATGTTTTCATTGTCTCGAGCTGTAGTAATATACACTGGCTTTGGTCTTAAATGGGGGATATCTGGAAGAAAAAAGAACACATCATTACTTGGTGAGTCTTGACATTATATAACCCCTACAAATGTTTCAGTTTCCAAGTAAATAGACATATATTTGGTTGTATGAATAGCAATAAGATTAAAGAACCAGAAATGATTAAAAATGTCATCTTTTGGAAGGCTTATTTCTAATTCTGCCTCATAATCTGACCAAAATGGAGTGATGGTGGCTGTTATTCCTTACAGCTGTGGTATACAACTATGGAAAAACTAATCTAATCACTCTTCATAAATTTGAGGAATGACATGAGATTATAATAGTGAAAATCTTTTCACATACATTATAGCCAATTAAATATCATTTTATGATAAGAACAAATGTAAAACCAGAAATATACAGACATTTCTTCATCATTTTATTTTAGTATCCAACACTACAATAATAAAAGCAATTGAACTTTAGTCTTATATCCTTTTCTCTTTAGATGAATCCAAGGAAATGGGATCAGTATAATCTACTTTATAGCTGAAAGAATTTCAAAAGTCATGTTTCATTTTTGAGGCATCAGATACCACCATTTCCAAAGTATTATTAAGAGGTCTTTAAATTCCATTATGAATACAAAAATTATGTGACACTGGATTTGAGATAACTACATGCTGTAGTCCACCTCCTACTAATTTTTGTAAATGTTGAAGGAACTGCATGAGACATTAAACGCAAATAACTTTTAATCTTGGAATGTTAACAATATACTATGTTTTCTAAAATGGATATAGATTACTAATAAAATCAGAAACAGGCCCTGGCTGGTATAGCTCAGTGGATTGAGCTTGGGTGTCGAAGGTTTGATTCCCAGTCAGGGCACATGCCTGGGTTGCAGGCCACGGCCCCCAGCAACTGCACATTAATGTCTCTCTCTCTCTCTCCCTCCCACCCACCCTCCCCCCCCTCTCTCTTTCTCTCTCTCCCCTCCCTCCCTCCCTTCCCTCTCTAAAAAAAAAATCTTAAAAAAAATCAGAAACAAAATTTGAAAAAAACATGCATATACATTGCTAACAAAATATGTAACATCACAGTACCCTCAAAGTCAGTACAGCTTTCAAAATGCACCAAGTTTCATCTGTTTTCCCCTTGCTCAAGTGTATGTTTGTTTTACAAATAAACACCCACAGACAACTGAATTAGTTGTCTACATTCCCTAGATGGATTAATGTCTGTGGTGACTTTTCCCCTCTAAAAGTGTTCTTAATTACCCATTTTAACTAATTTCACCTGCTTTAAAATAAGAGGCAAAGGAAGATTTGCCCTACCTCCATCACACTAAGGGATGCTTCTGGCCTATGAATTCTCATTTTTTAAAGAAAAACTTTAGAAGCTAAATGAGAAATTCCCTTATGTTTTCTTCCCCTCTGGTCTTACCGTCCCCAGGATGCCCAATTGTCTAAACGTCTGTCCCTCCATAAGCAGCTGCTGCTAGATGAAAGATCCAGTAAAAAAGAAATGGCATACTATGGGCAGTTGTGTGGTCTGGGGTGGCCTGCCTATGACCACTGACTAAGGTCTGGGATCACCATACGCCACCACCAGTAAGAGAACACTTAAGGAAATGCAAGTTTGTTTGTTTTTTTCCACATTAAAAGATTTTAATTGTAATTCCATCAAAATAATCACAATTCACTTCAAATTATTTCTGAACACAGGAACCACAGTACGCTTTTGTTGTTGTGAGCTGAGATACACCTTAGTTTGTACAAACACTTAAAACACTTAAAATCATTTATTAGGAAATTTTAAGTATCTTACAATAAAGTTAGTGTTAAGTATAAGAATAAATTAACTATTTTACTTAAAAATAATCAAAGGTCACTTTGAAAGAGTCCATACAGCTTCCCCATGGAAATCCTCTGTACACAGCTCAATAAGTACTTACCAAGTACAGGTTTGTAGATGTTTGTTAACTTAGTAAATGATGGGAATAAATGAGGAAGATAATACTTTCGAAACAATGTAAAAAGAAATTTAAAACCAGTATCTTGATTCTCTTTATTCTTCCACTCCAAGCTTGCAGCCTTGGGATAATATGTGGAAAAAAATACATATATTTACATTTCAAATTAATGTATACTAAACTGAAAATGTTATTGTTAAAATTCCTATTGTAATTTAAAAAACGGACAAATAATATTGATAATTATATAATAAAATCATATCTAAAAACTCAGATGACAAAAAATGAATAGTTCAAAACAAAACAGCAACTATGTTAAAAGCAGCATTTTTACTGAGTATTACAAAAATCATCCAATAATGTCACTCTTTGAAACTTGATCTCCAACATCATGCCCCTATTTTTCCACATGTTCCTTGTAATGATTTAACACTCCTTACACCCTTAAAACATCTAGTTAGATATAAAAAGGTGTACATTTTTTTAAAAGATTTTATTTACTTATTTTTTAGAGAGAGGGGATGGGAGAGAGAAACATTTCTGTGTGAGAGAAACATCAATTGGTTGCCTCTCCCACACTCCCAACCAGCAACCTGGCCTGCAACCCAGGCATGTACCCTGACCAGGAATTGAACTGGTTGATCCTTTGATTTGCAGGATGATGCCTAACCCATTGAGCCACACCAGTCAGGGCACAAGGTGCTTTTAATTTTTAATTTATTTTTGATGTTTTTATTGTTGGTCTATCATAGTTGTCCCAATATTCCCTTGTTGCTCTCCCCTACCCTGCGCCCCAACTTTCACAGTCAATCCCCACCCTACTGCCCATGTCCATGAGTCATTTATGCTTGTTCAACTAGACCCGTCCCCTTCTTTCCTCCCTTCTCACCACCCCCCCAACTTCTCCCCTCTGGTCCCTGTTCATATGTTGCTTGTTTCCATGCCACTGGTTCTATTTTGCTCATTTTCTTTCTTTTATTCATTAGATTCCACCTATAGGTGAGATCATATGGTATCTGTCTTTTGCTACCTGGTTTATTTCACTTAGTATAATACTCTCTAGCTCCATCCATGCTGTTCCAAAAGGTAGCAGGTTCCTTATTTCCTTCTGCTGGGTAGTATTCCAATGTGAAAATGTACCATAGTTTTTTCATCCACTCACTTACTTATGGGCATTTAGGCTGTTTCTAGCACTTGGCTATTGTAAATAATGCTGCTATGAACATTGGGGTACACAAGTTCCTTTGAATTGGTGATTCAGGATTCTTAGGGTATAATCCCAGCAGTGGAATTGCAGGGTGAAAAAGCAGCTCCATTTTTAGTTTTTGAATAAATTCCATACTCTTTTCCACAGTGGCTGTACCAGTCTGCATTCCCACCAACAGTGCACTACAGTTCCCTTTTTTCCTCATCCTCGCTAGTACTTGTTTGTTGATTTGGTTATGATGGCCATTCTGACAGGTGTGAGGGGGTATCTCATTGTGGTTTTAATCTGCATCTCTCTGATGGCTAGTGATGTTGAGCATCCTTTCATATGCTATGGGCCTTCCGTATGTCTTCCTTGAAGAAATGTCTGTTCAGATCCTTTGCCCACTTTTTAATTGGGTTGTTTGTCCTCCTGGTGTTGAGTCATACGAGTTCTTTATATATTTTAGAGATCAAACTCTTGTCTAAGGTATTACTGTAGGCAAATATGTTTCCCCATATGCTTGGTTCCCTTTTCATCTTGATGCTGTATTTGGCTGTGCATAAGATTTTTAATTTGATGTAGTCTCATGTGTTTATTCTTTCCTTTATTTCCCTTGCCCTAGAGGATGTATCAGCAAAAATATTGCCATGTGGGATACTTGAAATTTTACTGCCTGTTTTCCTGTAAGACTTTTATGGTATTGTGACTTATGTTCAAGTCTTTTATCCATTTAGAGTTTATTGTGGAGTATGGTGTAAGCTGGTGGTCTAGTTTCATTTTTATGCATGTACCATTCCAGATGTCCCAGCACCATTTGTTAAAGAGGCTATTTTTACTACATTTTATGCTTCTGTCCCCTTTGTCAAATACTGACCATAGAAACATGTTTTTTTTCTGGGCTCTCTATTCTATTCCATTGATCTATGTATCTGTTCTTATGCCAATATCAGACTATTTTGATTACAGTGGACTTGTAGTACAGTTTAATATCAGGTATTGTGATCCTTCCTACTTTGTCCTTTGTCAAGATTGCTGAGTCTATTTGGGGTCGTTTTTGATCCACTGGACTATTTTAATTATTTTAATATATTTTATTGATTATGCCATTACAGTTATCCCATTTATTCCCCTCCACCCAGCACCAACCCTCCCACCAGGATCCCCCCATACTCACCCCTAGTTCATGTCCATGGGTTATACATATAAGTTCTTTGGCTTCTACATTTTGCACACTATTCTTAACTTCTCCCTGTCTATTTTGTACCTACCATTCATGCTTCTTATTCCCTGTACCTACTCCCCCCATCCTCCCCCAACCCCTCCCTTCTGATAACCCTCCATGTGACCTCCATTTCTGTGATTTTGTTCCTGTTTTACTTGTTTGCTTAGTCTGTGTTTTTTTTTGGGGGGGTTGTTTTTTTTTAGGCTCAGTTGGTGATAGTTGAGTTTGTTGTCATTTCACTATTCATGTTTTTGATCACATTCTTTTTCTTAGATAAGTCCCTTCAACGTATCATATAATAACAGCTTGGTGATGATGAACTCCTTTAACTTGACCTTATCTGGGAAGCACTTTATCTGTCCTCCCATTCTAAATGATGGCTTTGCTAGATAGAGTAATCTTGGATGTAGATCCTTGCTTTTCATGACTTTGAATAGTTCTTTCCAGCCTCATCTTGCCTGGAAGGTTTCTTCAGAGAAATCAGCTGCTAGTCTTATGGGAACTCCTTGACAGATAACTCTCTCCTTTCCTCTTGCTGCTTTTAAGATTCTCTCTTTATCTTTAATCTTGGGTAATATAATTATGATGTGTCTTGGTGTATGCTTGCTTGGGTCCAACTTCTTTGGGACTTTCTGAGCTTCCTGGACTTCCTGGAAGTCTATTTCCTTTGCCAGATTAAGGAAGTTCTCTATTTTGTTTCCAAATAAGTTTTCCATTTCTTGCTCTTCCTCTTCTCTTATGGTACCCCTATGATTCGTTTGTTCGAACGTTTCAAGTTGTCCCGGAAATTCCTAAACCTCTCCTCATTTTTTTGAATCTGTGTTTCTTCATTCTGTTCTGATTGGATGTTTCTTTCCTTCATCTGTTTCAAATCATTGACTTGAGTCCCAGTTTCCTTCCCTTCCCTGTTGTTTCCCTGTATATTTTGCTTTATTTCATCTTGCATAGCCTTCACTTTTCCCTCTATTTTGAGACCATACTCGACCATTTTTGTGAGCATCCTGATCACCAGTGGTTTGAACTCTGCATCTGATAGGTTGGCTGTCTCTTCATCACTTAGTTCTATTTTTGGAACTTGGATCTGTTCTTTCATTTGGGCCATATTATTTTGTCTTGGTGTACCCGTTACTTTGTAAGGGGCAGAGCCTTAGATATTCACCAGGTGGGGTAACCCACATTGCTGTGTTGTGACACTGTATGTGTAGAAGGGGTCAGAGAGGGAACAATGCTACTTGCTTGGCTCTCAGCCGGCCTTCAGTCACTTGCCCTGCTACCAACAAGTAAACTGGGCCCTTCTGGTGCTGATTCCAGGGTGGGTAGGCTTGTGCACATTCTAACACCCTGTGGGTCTCACCAACAAACTCTCCTGTGAGGCTGGGAGTTTCTCCCACTGCAGCAATTCCCACAGGTTTTTACAGCCAGAGGTTTTGAGGCTTAATTTCCCCATGCTGGGACCCTGGGTTGCGCGGTGAGTCTGGCTCCCCAGTTGCTCCTCCCGGTTTATCCACACACAAATGTGGGACCGCCTGGTCTGTCAGCTGCTGCCTCACTCGTCTAGTCCTCTAGCCTCCACCTTGCTGCAAGTCTTCTCCTCCCCAGCTGCCCATCTCTGCCTTTCCTGCCAGTCTGGATGAATGTTTCTTCTTTAAGTCCTTGGCTGTCAGATTTCCATACAGTTCAATTTTCTGGCAGTTCTGTTTATTTTTTGTTTTTATATTTGCTATTGTCCTTCTTTTGGTTTTGCAAGGAGGCAAAGTTCATCCACCTACTCCTCTATCTTGGCCAAAAGTTCCATATAAAGTTTTGAAATGGTATTTTAATAGGGATTGCATTGAATCTAAAAAACTTAGAAAAGGCCATTTATTATAAACACAATTATGGAAACAAACCCTTCCAAAGATTCTATTCAATGTTACCTACATGCAAAATCAGTACCAAAAGGTATAGCTATGGAATCTTGAAAAATGCAGTATCCTTATGAAAAGCAATCCACAGGATAGGATAAGCCAGGCCTGACACCCTAGCCCCACCTGTCAGCGAGTCTTAGTACTTGCTATAACACTGAGTGTCCTAAGCAGTTTCCCAAATTCCTTTATAATGCAGCCTACTTAGAAAATGGCAGTAGTCCAGCACCTAAGGTAAAGAAATGAGGGGCTTAGCTGCCCTAGGGCAGAGGATCTCAGAGTCTGTAAACTGCCAGTTCTCCGGGATGAGCCAAGGTAGAAATTCTGCTCTGAGGACTCACCCCAGTAGACAGAAGGGAGCGGATGAGAGGGGGATGGCCATGCCCATACAATTCTGCACACATATTAAAGGCTCACAGTTCATGTAAAAACCTTCCCCTATATCAACAGCATCCTTCCTCTAATGGAATCCTGGGGTATTCATGACTTATCTGAGGTCACGCAACTCATTAATAATATATCTAGAATGAAAACCCAAGTCTCCCAAAACATCAAAGTTTGAGATACTGTATGCTGATCTGTCACTTCTGAACAGATAAGAGTTCACAATCTATGAAGAATGGGCCTGCAGAGCTAAAATGTAGAGGAACTAAAATTCCAGAAGATGAGAGAATACCTCAGTTGGGCTCTCAGAATTTTAGAGCCCTGTGTTTCTGGTGCTGGCTAAAGGAAATGGGAGAGGAGAACAGACAAGATTACCCAGCAGGAAAGAGTATTCAGAAAGAGCAGCCAAAGACTGAATCTTGAGGGACAGCGGAGAGAAACACAGTCCCCCAGTGGAAACTGGAAAGAAGTAAAAGGGAGAAGGAAAGCCAGAAGAAAATATCATGGAAGGAATCTCATAAAGGAAGGGTAGACTGTCAAGTCATCTGAAAAACTGAGTACAGCACAAACTTAAGAGTGTCCTCCCTCTGGACTTGACCATAAGAATCCCTTAATGTTCTTGGACCTCTTAGCAGTGACAAGGCAGAAAGGCAGGTAATAGAGGGTGTCAAGGAATATTAGGGGAGGAAGTAGACTTCACAGAGATTATTAGGTCAACAAACTTGGTTGTGAAATGAAGGACAGAGATTGGACTATACCCAGGAAGAACTCAGAGATGAGAGAAGTGTTTGCTAAGAAAAAAGCACTCAGGAGCTTTTTCCAAACTGTATCAATGCTCAGAAATTCAGACCAAGAGACATAAATCACCTATTGAAATCATAAACTAATGATTTTAGTTTTGTATTCAGTTGGTAAAATAAAGAAATTATGTGACATAAAGCAGGCTTGTGCTGATGGCATGATGAGGTAATTAACTATGCTTTTGTTCAAATCTCCTTGTCTGCTCTGCCTATTCCTAATCTATTATACTCATTCAGCTTCAGGGCCTGCCTCGTCTTCCATCTGTCTCTCTAGCATAGAGATCAGGGTTTGGGAAAGAGTAAAGAAGCAAAAATAGTTTACTAGGCAATGAAATAATAATAATAAAAAATATATATATATAGGCCTCTGACCTCAGTTCCTGGCCACAAGTACTGGGCCCTAAAACCCCTATAACTTCCTAAGTTATGAGAGCACTAGGAGCACCTTCTGTTCTACTAAGGTGACTCTGGGTGGGCTCCTGGATGGCTCCTGAATGAGGGCTGGTCACCAGAGAGACTAAGCCACGATTAGAACTTGGAATTTTTAGATCCTAGCCACCCCATTTCTCCAGAAATGAGAGAGGGACTGGAACTGGGTTAATGATAGATCATGCCTATGGGGAAAAAAACCTCCATAAAACCCAAATATAGCAGGGGTTTTAGGAAGCTTCCATGTACCAGTGACATACCGCAACTCCATGGGGACAAAAGCTCTTGTACTCAGGCCTTTCCCTTCATGTGGCTGCTCATCTGTAGCCTTTATCATATTCTTTAAAGTAGTAAACATGAGTAAATATTACCCTGAGTTCTGTGAGCTCCTCTAATAAATTAATCACATTTAAAGATGCAATCATAAGAAGCTCTGATTTGTAGCCAAATTGGACAGAAGTTGTGGGTAACCTGGGGACCTACTACTTGCAATTCGTGTCTGAATAGGATGGGAATAGTGTTAAGGGGCTAAGATCTTAACATGTGGGCTCGGATGCTATCTCCAGGTAGACAGTGTCAGAATTGAGTTAAATTGTGGGACCCCAGCTGCTGTCACAGAGAATTGCTTGTTGGGGGTAAAAACCCCATACATTTGGTGACCAGAAGCATCACACGTGAACTGTTATCTGAAAATGTGGTAATAATATTACAGTAAAGGAGATACACAGATGGAGAACTGAATTTTTCCTTTTACCTGCACACTTACATAAAATAGTGTGTATGCCTGGAATTTGCTGAAGTGCCCTGGCCAGACTCTATGTTTAGTGAAATAGCACATAAAATCACCTCAAATAAAAAGCAAAGTAGAAAATGTGAGCAAACAGAAAGAAAAGAGAGAATGTTTTCTCTTTCCTACTGAGAATAAGACCATCACTTAATTATCTACAATTTGCTCTTACCTGAATAACCATATACTTCAATAGTATTTGGAGAAAAAAGCATGTTTGGTCCTCAGCTATCTTTTCCCCTGATATGGCTGGCAGGAGTGGAGTGATTTCTTCTGGATATATCTTTGCTGCAGAGTGGAAAATAATGAGAGTCTTTCATCACAGTTAAATTTTAAACAGGATTTTTAAAAAATGGCCTCTACTAAAATACATGTATCCATTTATTAGAACTGCTCACATGGACCAAGCCAGTGTGCATGAAGGGCTTAGAAGCATGATACGGAAGCCACAAAGCCACCTGTCCCACTGCACCATTCTTTCCCCTTTCAAATTCTGCTTTGGTCATCCTAACATCAAATACCTCTCATTTGGCAATAAAAGTGACAGGTAGTTATAAATCAATGGCCCTAACAGGACACAAATGGCTGCCATTAATAGTCCCATGAGGCATATACCGTCCTCCCGTTAATGTTGCATGAAAATACATAGCTAACAAAAAAAAAAACGTTGGTAAGCAAATGAATGAAACGATAGCAATGAGGACAACAGACAGTAAATACTTTGGATAGTGGATTTGAATTACATTACCAGTCACAAAAACACTCCAGACATACCAAGTGTCCCTACTTCCTGCTTTTGCCAACATCTGTCCTACTCTCTTCCATTCCTGTTCCCACCACTTCAGTAATTTTCTCTTGCCATCATTTCATATAAAATAGGTTTAAGTCTTTCAATTCAAATATGTATAAGAATCTACCATGAATATGAATGGGAAATAATTCCTGTTCAAAATTCATTTATGAAATCAAGATTTCTATTCAAGAAAATGGCAAACCAAGGAATTCCTCAATGTAACTTTAAGAGTCATTTCAACCTGTAAGATCTGCTCATATCACTCACCATCAGCTGTGCTAGGGCTTGGACTGATGAGTGTCTCCAGAGTACAGGGCCCTTTGGAGGACATGATTGCTGGGAAACCAGGCACGAGGCAAGCAAAAATCAGCACCTGCTCTTCTGCACAGTTTGTTTGAAGTGCTTGAAGCCACAGAAGAAACAACTTGATTCCTTCACATCTTATCTAAAAAAAATAAAAGCAACAAAATTAAGCATATGTACTTGTGGAAATGCATTGCAATGTAGCATCAGTTCTGAGGAAGAAAAACTAGAAGTGAAAGGTATTGTTAAAGCACTGCGCTAAGTTCTTTACTTGGTGACAAGTAAGGAAGGATGCTGCAATACAGCACAAGGATTAAGACCTTGGGTTCTGGAGCCAGGGTGCCTGGGTTCAAATGCAGGCTGTGCCCCTTTCTAGCTTAGCTGTGACCTGTGGAGAACCACTTAACTTCTTTATGCCTTAGTGTCTCCAACTGTAAAATAGGGATGATGATAACAGAATTTACCACAAAGTACTGGTATAGGATTAAATGAGTTAGAAGAGTGCCTAACTCACAGTAAGCACTATTTATTTCCTGTTGACAATATTTCATTCTTAAAGGCACAATCCCCATATCTTGAACACTCAAATAACCGTGAAAACAATGCAAAGATAATCTTCCAAATTCACACTGTGCTTTGGACAGCACTTATGTCATGTCACTACAATATGCACAAGTACAATGTTCTTGTATATCTGAATGTTTAGAGCTAATTAAGACCTTAAAGAATTGACTCAATGGGATGAAACAGCTCTCCAGCTTCCCTGCCTTATGTCCCTACTCTATTCTCTCAACACCTTTGCCATGCTCTGAACGGTGTTTTCTATACATCTATAGAGGTAGATGTGTCCTCCTTTTACCTCTAGACTTACTTTCAACTTCATTCCATTCCAAGAATTTATAACCACAGGTATTTCCATTTCTATATTCCTAAATGGCCTAAAAGATAATGTCAATAAAAGAAGTTAAATAAGCAAAAGAGATGAAAAATACATCAGACACAGATGAAAGATTAATGAACTCCAAATGCAGGTAACTGAGGAACTGCCTGATTTCCTTTCAATTACACCAAGCTGTAGATTCCTCCAACAAGCCAAATAGGAAGCTCTGCAGAAAAGCCAAGAGAAGGAGAAGACTCCCAACCCAAAATAAAGAAGGGAAAAAAAAGAGAGAGAAGGAAAAATCTGGGCTAACTCCCCAGACTAGACGGATGACAGTGTTCCTCCCATTAAAAGTGAATTCCACAGCACAGTTTCAGACACACTTGTGGACTCACCACTTCTCTGCACAAAGCTCCATGCTCACTCACACCTGTCCTCTCCCAAGCATTGAAATAAGTGGTGACATTGGTGAATGCATAGTATTATTCAGCATTAGGCCAAAAATGATATGGCTCTATATATACCTAACTAAATTATATTAAATTTAACAAGAGGAAAGTTTCTTTAAAATTCTATCATAAATCTTCCAATTTTTATGTTAACTGTTTTTAAGGTAACTAAACATAAATAAGGCCAATAAGAAACATGAGATAATGACCTGGCAGTTTTATACTATTAATTAAAATAGGAGGGACAAAATATGGTATCTATTGTGAAGCTAGGAATAGCTTGTCTCCTTTTTTCAACATGTAAGAAATACTTAACTTACCAAGATTAATTGGCTATGATGTTTTAAGCTGCTATAAAACACAAAATGCATTAGCTTATTAAAGGCACACATATAACTTAATGAGCTATGAGTGAATTACCTTTCATAAAACACACATCCAAAGCTGGCTTCTCTTGTCAATGGTTTTTAAGTGCCATCTTATCCCAGCATCAAATGGTGTGTCATCATAAAAGGCATATTCATTTTAATAAGCCAATTTTAACTTAAATTATAAGATCAATCTGCTGTAAATCAATAAATACTCAAAAGGAAGGTTTTGTTACTCTTTTCCCACACAATGGTGCTCAAAAATAATTCATAGACAACTAGAACTTTAACAACAAGATTACTGGGGTGAACAGAATCAGGCATGTTAGCTCTGAAGCTTAGCAAGGAAGTAATCAACCCCTTCCCTTTCTGATGATAAAACTGGAGCAGTTAGCACCTTGCCATTGGTTCCCTAACTGTACACAGCAGAATCAAAATTAGAACTCAGAACTCAACTTCCAACCCCAAGCCAGTTTCTCCTAATTATATTTAAGGTGTCTATTACAAAAGTTATGATGGAAGAACAAAAATTCTAACAAATATTAGAAATATAATTTCTCAATTAAAAAAATAAGTAAAGTGGTTTTCATGGTGGCCTAGTTTTATTAATTTATGGAATAATTTAAGATTAAAAATACCATTACATATTCATCTAAAATAAATACCTTAATAGAATTTGCAGTGTGTAGAAGCTTCTTTAAAGTTGAGCCTGGAAGTTTAAAACAATAAATCAGAAATAAAGCATATAAATTTGAGATCTATTTTTAAAAGATTAGTTTTAGAGAGAAAAAATGTTCTTACAACAAAAGACATATTATATATATATATATATTTAATGTACTTTTAATGGTCAATTTTTCCAAACATTAAAATATTGAAAAATTTTTAAAAACTCAATATTAGAAGTATTAAAAGTATTAAAACTCACATTATTTTAAATATTTATAAAACAGAATATACTATAATTTTGCTTTCCTGGCTTAATGGAACCAAATTCATCAATATTTTCTAAATCTACTTTCTTGCTTATCTCATTTTCAATTCCAAGAACGACCATTCTTGATAATTTCTCCTGAGATATAAGTGTCAATTTTTTAATTTTACTTTTTATTGTATTTTTCCATTACCATTTATCTCCTTTCTATTCCTCTCCTCCTCACCCCCACAATGAGCATACTTGTCCACATAAGAAGTGACAATCTTTTAAAGATCTTTTGAAGGCCATAAGTTCATAAAGATAGTTCAAATATAAATTTAACATTATAAAATCCTTTATTCATTTTAATTTTTTAAAAACTCCCTCTATATATCATGCTACAAACTAAAATCAACAATCAATGGCAGTATACCACCAGGAAAGAGACAAAAACATAGAGAAACACCCTCTTTGGTGCTGGTGTGTGAGGTCTACCAAACACTGACAGTGGAGCAGGAACATAGACCTTCTGGCATTATAATGTCTAACAAATACAAGGGAGCAGTAGTCCACTGGAGTAATCTGAAATTAACAAAAATTAACTCAAAATGACTCAAGGAACTAAACGTGAAATAGGTAAGTATAAAACTTCAAGAAGAGCCCTGGCTGGTGTGGCTCAGTGGGTTGAGCGCTGGACTGTGAAGCAAAGGATCACCAGTTCAATTCCCAGTCAGGGCACATGCCCGAGTTGCAGGGCAGGTCATGAAAGAGGCCACCACACATTGATGTTTCTCTCCCTGTCTTTTTACCTGCCTTTCCCTCTCTAAATAAATACAATCTTAAATAATAAATAAATAAATAATAAAAACTGAGCAATACCACTGAACATATACCTCACCACATAGTGACAGCAAACAGCATATGAAAAGATGCTCAAGCTCATTAGTCATTAGAGAAATTCAAGTTAAAACCACAGCAAGATACCATTACCACTAAACTAAAAAAGCTGAACATATCAAGTGTTGATGAGAATTCTCATCTTCCTGGTGGAAATGTAAAATGGTGCAACCTCTTTGGAAAACAATCTAGCAGTTAAATATATACTTTTATATGATTCGGCCATTCCATTCTTGAAATAAGAAAGCACATGACCACACAAAGACTTACATGCAAACAAAAAAGCTTTATTTGAGGCCAAGTACTAGAAACAACCCAAATATTTATCAACAAATGAACAAACTATGTTATAGCCATATAGTGGAATGCTGTACTACTCAGAATAAGAAGAAATGAACTATTAATATATATACCAACACAGATGAATCACAAAATAAGTAAACTGAGTGAAAGCCAAACAAAGAAGAGTACACACTGGAGGATTCTATAAGACTATAGAAAATCAAACTAGTCTATAGCGGCAGAAAGCAGATCAATGGTTGCCTGGGACTGGGGAATAACATGGGGAAAGGTGGGAAAGGATCATGAGAAAACTTTGGGGAGTGATGACTATTCATTATCTTGATGGCAGTAATGGTTTCACAGGTATACATCTATGTCAAAACTTAGAAAAACGTACATTTTAAATAAGTATATAAATTATACTCCAAGGAAAAAATCTGTTTTTTTTAAAAATAAAAAGCAGAGCAGGTAGCCTGGAAGTAACTCAGTGAAAGATCAGGAGGATGAAGGTTGCAGTCAGACAGAGGTCAACAGGTGACAATGGACCAGAAGATAAAGTAAGGAAACCACAGAGGATGTTGGGATCAAGGAGTTAATGGGTAACTTGGCATAAAGAAAAAGAACTGGGAGAGAACAAGGCATTAAAAAAAGAGCAAGAGGACATGGCAGCAACAAGGAAGAAGACAAGGTATCATAGCCAACGGAGAGAGATTTCCACAAGGGAGATAGTGGATAATGCCTGGAATCAGCCTTAGAGGAAAGAAAGAACATTCTTTTTACCTGCATACCCCTGAGGAACACAGACAAGCCTCAGAGAAAAGCCAGGTTTCATATGGCCAAAGAGATGAACACAAGAGGCTGAATCAGTAGGGCTGTTGCTTATCCCATAAAGAGAATTTCCAGAGGGAAGATCACAAAGTGGGAAGAAGGGGAAGAGATGCAGACACTGATGGTAAAAGCACTCCAAAGAGGACCCTGAGTAGACACCAAGTGAGCTGAGGAAGCATTAAATCCAGTTACCCCGGCAGACATGAAGGCAGGCAAGGACCCTAGATTTCACTTAGCCGGGTTCTGATGCACCTCTAAAGGAGTCCTAGCATGAAGGACATTGGAAGACCATGCTGGCTCAGAAAGAGTGAGCTATGGTGTAGCCTGTCAAACTCAAGGCCTGTCAAATTCAGACTCCTGAGGAGAGGTTAGAGCCCAGTGAGCCCTAGAAACTTTGAGAAATGAGGCTGCTCAAAGGTCATGTTCATATCCCTGGTAATATGAGGTCACTGAGTAGCCCAAGGCATAAAGCCAGAGCCACCCTTAAAAGGTCATAAACAAATGTGCAGTTTAGTTATGTCCTTGGTGTTTATACTATGTATGAGAAAAATCTAACTGAGCAAACTAGATTCAATTATGACTCATATAAAACACATATGAGGTATTGTACATGTGTGAATTTTTCACTACCTGAGCCCACTCCTTTAAGTACAAGGTTATTTTTAACATTTTTTACATAAAACATCTCTAGCATAAAATATATCCTTCTACCCACTCAGCAAATATTTACTGAATATAGGCACAACACTGTACACTGAATGGGACAGGAAATCTGCTTTCTAGAGGCTTGTGAGTAGTAAACCCTCTTAAAGCAAACACACATATAACTTGAGTCCTATAGTGATGCCACACGAGCACATGAAGGGGTGCCACAGCATTCCCTTGCACCGAATATCCCTGGTTTGCTGATGTGCCCTTCTCTGTCATCTCCTCACTCCGTGTCAATTCCATTATTTCACAGAGATAAGACTATAAGCAGCCACCTTTACCCACCATGATTTATTTGGCCTAAAAATGACTTCAGGAAAATTTTGATAAATGATTCTTTTCAACTTGTAATCAGTAATGAAATTTTATAAATAGCAGCAGCAAATATTTGAGTAGCAAATAAACATACATCAGACTTGATGAGAGCTGTGTCAACTATTTCCCTAATCTTCTTACTCTCTAAAACACGACTTGAAGCAATATCTCTAACTGCCTGGAATAATGAACCTGTGTTCATTACACACTGCAAAACTTAAAAGTTCAAAGATGTGTCCTCACTCAGTGATTTATATAGCAATGATACAGTCTTTAAAACCATAAACAAAGAGAAACTTTAAGACTATTTTTTTCCTTCTAAAAAGAGTTTTAAGAGAATTAGAATGTCTCTTTTTCCTGAAGACCCAATAAGACGGGGTGATTAAGAAAAAAAACTTCAAATACTGTGGCAGTTGATGTTATAAATTACCTTCTTTCTTCTCAGTATAAAATGTAGCTATCCAGTAGGTCTGAGAGCTTTTAAGACTTGCCATAATACAGACACTGCTATTATTTTAAGCTTTTATGCTTAGTATCATTGCCATTTGTAGTATGAGAAAGCAAGCAAACTGAATCAGTGGTATGTAAACCAAGCCTTAAGTCTCTAAATATATATCAGAGCACCTACTCAAAATGGCAAAGAAGGTGGAAGTTGCATTTACCCTTTTTCATGACCACGTAAAAATTACGACTTAATTATAGAATAATCAACCTGGGTAACCATCTGAAGACTAGCTAAAGAAAAGTCTCATAATTAAGGATGTACAGAAAAAGCCACATGGAGGCTGGTAGGGAAGTGAAGGCACAAAACGGGCTAGCTCTGAACCATGTGCAGCAGTTGAGAATCCAGAGGGATATCTCAGCTACTGAGGTACCCCCTGAGGAACGTTGTGTCTCAACCCCATGGGAAGCTCCCTAGCCCAAATCACCAGTGCCAGGAAGAGGAACATCTGGCAGTGAAATTCAGCAGGAATTCTACCTGCCTAGGTGAGAGGGAAAGTTGCTGGAAACTCAGGTGTCCTCTTAAAAGGACAATGCACAAAATCCCACTCACAGGCACTCACCCTGAGCTCTAGGTAAGGGAGGGTAGCTGTGAGGGTGCTTGAGGCACACATGGAGAGACTGAGTTATGCGGCTTTGAGGAGAGGGCCAGAGAGACAGCCGCTAATGTCCCTATGTTGAGTCCCTCTCTCACACAACACCCACAGAAGCCATGTTTCCTGGGTAGAACACTCCCCACAACAACATCAGCCTAAGAAACTGCACTGGCCACACCCTGAACAGCACCCAGCCTGGGTCTGTGCTGCAGTGTTTCTTAAAGAAGTCTCAAAGTATTCTGGCTAAGCTCAGGGCATGCCTGTTACACAGAAAAAGAAACTGAGTTGTGTGACTATCAGGGCAAGGGCATTTTTCCATTTTCATTCTACCCCTGCCATACTTCCTGTGTTGACCCCAACCTGTATCCTCACAGCATTATCCTAGAAAGCTCTACTAGCTCCATTTTGGCAACTCCCTGAGGCCTTACCCTACCCAGTTTACACACCACTGTAGTCTCTGCAGGTGGTGACCAGCATGGGCCCACATTACAGTTGTTCTTAAAATGGGGAACTCCAGGCAGACTTGGTGGCTGCCAGAGACATACATGAAGAGGCTGAGTTGTGCACCTTTAGAACAAAGGCCATCTTCCTGCATACCAGATGAGCACCACCATTCCTGTGCTGAGTCCTCCCTTCACATAGCCAAATTTTTATCTGCTTTAGCCT